AAAGTCTTAAAAAACCAAGAAGAATTAGAGAAGAAAAAATAAAATAAAAAATGAAGCCAAGCATTAATTGAGGAGGACGGGGTCACGTGCCATGTTATCTGCTCTGTCTCAGCTACACGCTACACTGCACAAACAAAAACAACCCTTCAGATCACACCTGCACATGGCTATCAACTATGGAGGTTGCCTGCTTAATGCATCCTCTAACCAAATTCCCTTCCCCAGCCCCCACATTCTAATCATCAACAACACTGCCCATTACCACTCTTTTGTCTTCTAGTTCCACTGCTCCCATATGAATCTAATCACAATTCTATTGGAACCAAACCAAACCAGGGCGAGGTTCTTGTCAATACAATAAATCTATATAGTATACTCGATCATGTTTGTTTATAAACAGCTAAAACAAGTTAAAAAGCAGAGTACCAAAATAGTTGGTGTGGAGATGGCTGCAATCTTTCCTTTTCAACCAATATTGTATTGGGTCGCTTTATCTTAACTTCGTGATGTAATTGACATGTCTCCAGGAGAACTCAGCTTCCTTCTGTGTACTATGATTCGGATTCGGCCGATGTTTCGGGTTCGCTGGGATGCCTGTCAATGGACTAATCAACTTGAAGGTTGAGCCCCACCATGAGTGAAGTGTGGAGGTTGAAGTGGGATGGATGATGATGATGAATGGACTTCCTTTTTGCCTTTTGTTTGGGAAGGAAATGTTTCCTCATGACGTCACTTCTTTTTAAGGTGTAATTACAAACTCTTGTGCACGCAACTGCTGGCCTCGACAAAATCTGAGTCCCTGTCTTCGTCTAATTAATCATAGATTCAGATATATATGATTATCGGGAGTTGAAATACTAAAGCCAACCCCCACATCACTCCAGCTAATCAATCAGAAATATCAGAAGTTGGAATACTGAAAACATCCCCACGTCAGTCCAGAAGTCACTTCCTTCAAGAAAGGCTGGTAGATATTGGACCACAAGTCTCTGGTCCTGCGTCTCCCTTTTCAGCCAACTCGCAGGGGGGGTTTGATGGAAACACAAAGACAGTAGATTCCGCCATTGAAGGCTGAAAGCTAGCAGAATATCTTGCTGAGGTTAAAGTAAATCTGGGCAACTGGAGCATACCTGAGGCCAAAGGAACCAGCTTGTAGCCAAGAACATGCTCGGATTTTGGGAGAATTGAAATTGTATCATCATGAGAACCAGATATCACAAAACTCTGTACATCTGCTAAAGAAAACTTGACTTCCTGTAATAACTTTGATTGGTTTTTAATCTTTATGAAGTAGGTGAATGGATCTCCGAGGATGGCATAAGGAGGACTCTCCATGCACACAATTAAAGGTGAAAACTCTATATCTACATCAGGAAGCATCTGCGTAGTCAAGACTGAAGCTACATTAGAATCATATTGGTCTTTAGTCCCTGAGTATCTTCTCCACCTTAGTAACACATTTCCTAACCTAAGCTTTGATGAATTTATCTTCGAAGTGACAGTAAAAACCTTCTTAAATTCTTCTCCAGACATGAGGATAGCTGGATCTACAAGATTACCACTAGCACTTTTTATGGAACAAGAACTCTCAATCCCGTCATTATCATCTATTTCAATTGACATGGATAATAGTTGCAACGGGACCTCAGTGCAATTCCGGGCGCTGATAACCAGTATGCAGGTTTCGTTTAGAGGCAATGATAATGACTGATCAGACTGAGGGACTGCTTTAGTCCTTGAGAGCAACAAAGGGTCCCGCCGGAAAGGCAGCAAAAAGTGATGACCAATTGTGACAGCAGCCTTTCCGTCAATCTGCAAGCTCCTGTGGACATTTGTTTTCTGAGCATTTAGTTCTTGGCTAAGTGGAGAATAACCCAGGGACACATAAAGCATAATGGGCTTAGCTCGATGCCACTTAATTTGCAGTTTGCAGGACCAGGACTCTCCACTTTTTAGAAATGGAACAGAAACCAGTCCAAAGGACTGCTTGATCTTCATTGAGTCATCAGAAATCAAATGTGATTCCGCATCATCTTCTATTCCAGAAATACCAAGAAGCTCAACATGGCTATCAGAAAAGGGTTCTGATTCCCTCGGGCTAAACAAACCACCCCCCCGCACATCAACCAGGTTGATCTTTAACTCGCCAGAATAGATATCAGGACCCTTGGAGACTACAGTTACAGGTACTATGAAAGTCTCTCCAACTAGTGCAAGGGTAGAAGCGCCTAAAGTAAGATCTACTTCTGGGTCAAGCTCTTCAACCTGGGTTGCCTTCAGGCCAGAAAAGGCTAGTGCGGGATCCTTCGTTGGAAGTGTCTCCACATGATCTTCAAACTTCCAAAGAGGTAAATCATCCATTGAAACGGGGCTTTCGGCTCTGCAACATATTGTAAAGTTTGGTCGTATCTTTGCAATAACAGAGGTGCATTCGAGCTTCCCACTTTGATCTGGAGAAAAAAACATTAGCTTTAACCTCAAAATATTATAACCGTATGTACATATACATGCTTACCTACCTACCATACATATATGTGTATATGTATTTCTCTCTCTCTCTCTCTATATATATATATCACAAGAAGCAATCTTCTAACAGAACCATACACATTGGTTAACAGAAGTTCTATCTCCATCACACACACGGAAAAAAACAGAAATGGTTCTAACATTCAGAATCTAGTAAGATGTGATGATAAGAACATCACGTCTCCCGTCATGCCAGGATAAAAAATTCCTGCTTAAAACATATGTCCAAGGTTCCTTCCCCATCCGAATATATGCAGTATTTTGGAACAATTATGAATACATAAAGGACACTGAAGAATAAACACTTTTCAGAAGCTTAGAAGTCCAAGAACGCATGAGAAAGAAATTAAGTTACCAGATTTGATTTGATAAGTCATTCGTAGCCATTTATTCGAGAAAAGTGCAAGAGAAGAAGCTTGCTCAACTCTGAGATCTTGTTGATCACTGGCGATCACAGCTGAAGGAAGTCTTTCAGCATTCATAATGATAAAGTTACACTCTGGTTGATTGAAATGAACTTCTAACTGATCGAGTTCAATGGTTAGGGGCAAGTGAGAAAGAAGTGACACGGTAATCAAAGTAGACACCCCAGGCTTGATTACTTGTTCGTGAAAAGCAACTGAAGCAAGAAGCACCAATCTAAGAGGGCTCACTGGATCAATTTCAAGATGTACAGGATTATCTCCCGTTACTTTGAGCTCTTTGCCATGTTCAACTGAGGCCAACACTGATTCTTCATGTACAAGATTAAATACTTCGTTGTGGATTTTTTCCCTCTGTTCTAGAGTTGCAGGGCCCACTGGGCAACAATCTTTGGATCTGAGAGACAGCATATGAACATCAGATGATATGGGAAGTGCAGCCATTTCAAGAGAGTACTCCAAATAATCTTTCACGCTACCATGTTTCCTAGACAACTCTCGTAGGTAACTGAGGACTTCCCATAACAAAGTAACCCATCCCTCTCTTCTATATAAACTTGCAACATTATCAAGAAGTTTTTTGGCATCATCTAAATCGCCCATTTCATAATGCTCTTTAGCTATCTGGAATGCACAAAAGGAGCTCGTTCTCTGGGCTTTGGAATTACTATATGACTCGTAAGCTTTTTTGAGAATAGTAATCATCATAAATGGATCTTGATGCTTCTTTCCTTCAGCAATGGTATTTTTCAAATACTCTTTATCAGTAACACTGCATGTACAAGACAAGTCAAAGTTTAGAAATAAAAAGTATATACAAAATATGATTGAGTAATTACTTTTTCAATACTTACGCTTGCATAACCATTACATCGGCTTCTTCAAGTAACCTAGAATACTGGCCCACATATGCAGAAGGTACCAAAGACTCGGTAGTGCTTTCCAATTCATCCACATTAATGTACATTGACAGCATCAATTCAAAAGACAATCTCTTCTCCTTCAGGTAGTTAGCAGCTAACTGTTTCAAGGGTAAGTTTCTGGATCAAATACATTACCCCCCAACTTGATTAAAGTTCACACAAACATTTAAAGCTTGATTAGATCAAATGTTGTAAGAAACAAGAAATTATTAGAAATATATTGGTAATGACCAATGATCAACTAAATAAGTCGTCAAAAAATGAAGTATTCTCAAGGCACCGAAAGGACAATACCCTGAATGCTTTAGCCTTTAGGCTATCAAGAATTCTAGTAGGAATACAATTAAATAAAGAACATTGAACATTATATTCCAAAAGAAGCAATGCTCTAATAACATAACTAAGTAAAAGTGCCAATAATTTTCCAGACTGACTGACACTTGGAAACAAAACAAAGTATAGTTTCATACAGATGCGATGTCTTCTGGACAGAGTTACGGATAGGCAAGAAGTGTGAAGTCTTATTCATTAGTGATTTTTCTTTTTTATTTAAAAAATTTACTCTTTATGTCGCGTCAAAACGACAGACTCAATACCAGCAAATCAAGACCCCAAGATCAATCAGACTGCAAAGATCCCCTCTGTTCCAAAGCTATATTGATTAGTTAATTTATGCGTTTGTTTCTTTTATGATAAGAAATTTGGTACTTTTCTTAAAATACAAGGTTAACATCTTTTTACTTTGCTGTAATTCGAAGAATCACAGGATTGATCTTTTATTTTTTGATGTCCCATCTCAAATTCAAGAATTAACAAGTCGTATTTCAAGCAAAGATTACATAGAAAGAACTAAAAGAACCACATGTAACCAACAAAGTCTCCAAGAAGTAGCCTACAGGCTACAGATGACACAAAAGAAATTTCAGAATCAGAGTCATTTAAATGAAATGTCTATCAAAACAAGTTCTCACTTCAGATTGGTTCTTGAAGATTCAGTGATGACTCTTTGAAACTTCATTGACAGCAGCATAATGCGAAGGAGTGGGAAAGTGTTTAGCTTTAAATGCTTTTAACAGGCACAAAGAGGTTAGATTTTTCTGGCACAATGTTACCTTAAAAAATCATTTAAAAAAACACTTTTCAGGAGAGAATAAAAACGATGTATAAAATTATTCAAAGAGGCAAGAAAATATGATCCAATCATTTAGTTAACAACTTGATGCATAAAGGTTTCTGGAAGAAGAAATATGAAGGAGGCCTCATGCCTGATAGTAATGAGCTGGATGAAACTCCCATTCAGTTAAAGGCTTGCTTCCCGTGCCTAGACCCAGTGATGAAATGCTAAGACTAGTTGCTGAGCTTGTCTCCAGCAACTCGGCAAATACCAAAAATTGTCTACTCATCCATTCCCAGTGAAGAAATGCATTATCTGGCTCTCCAACTAGCCTGCTGTACAAGGTAAAGTGTTGACGGAACCATGTCACTGCTTCAATGACCTTTCCACTATGCAATAACAATGTTGATATTTTAAAATGCAACTGCTCTGCATTCATTTTAATCTCAACCAACTGCTGAATTGATTGTGATCTTTTTGGTGTCCCAGACAACTGCACAGAGAATAAAAAATGTTTACCAACAAAAATATCCAATGACTGACTCTCCATCCCTCTATCGAAATACAGACATATGTCTTCACCCTGTAGCAACAAGAGTCTTCGAAAGGAGTTTGAGTTGCATCCGCAATAAATATTAATTTTGTTGTTATGTTGATAAGAGCCTACTAAATGTTACCATTATGGACTGATCCAACAATAAATGAGGTGTAATCTACCAAGAATTAGAACCATAACGTCCCATGAAGTTTCCAAATTTAAATGTTGTCAATTCAAAATGGTCTCCTAATATTAGCCAAGTTACCGAAAAAGTAGCCAAATTACCACAGTTATGAGGCTATAAATTTAAGCATGCAAGAGCATAAGCTAGACCATTGTTACATGTTACACAACTATTCTCTGCAATGCAAGAACTTATTTGCTACAAGTGTATGTGTTGAGATATTTTCTTTTTCCTTCTTTGTTTACCCCTTTGTCCTCTTTTTTTCCATTTATTGGTACTACCATCAGTGTTGTTGAGGCGCACCCGGGCGCCTGAGGCGAGGCGATTTCGCCCAGGTGCGCCTTGCAAGGTGCCCAGGCGAGCGCCTTCAATCGGGCGCTCGCCTCGGTGCGCCTTTGTACGCGTCTCGCCTGAGGCCAGGCGATCGCCTCGTTGAAGCGAGGCAATCTGCTTTATTTATTTTATTTTAATTTTTAATGTTTTTTTTAAAAGAACCTTTCTCCCTCGCGAAATACCTCAGTCCATAAACCCTAACCATTCTCTCTGCCTCTCGACATCACCTTCACCACCCTCAATCTTCGGCCATCGCCCACTCCCATCTCCGATCATCACCGTCGCCGCTCCTATCTCTGACTAAACTTATTGAATTTGGTTGTTTTATGTATCTTGTTGACATTTACTATGACACTATTTTGGTATTTATTTTTTAAACTATGTTTACTATATAAATTTATGCACTATATATATAATTTTTATTTATTTATTAAGGTGCGCCTCGCTTCACTCGGGCGTCGCCTTTGTATCACCTCTCGCCTCAAGGCGATCAAAGGGCTTGTCGCCTTGAGGTGGGCCTTGCGCCTCGAAAACACTGACTACCATAGATTTCCAAGATCACTAATTGTAGTTGTAGTCCTCTTGCAGCTAAGAGAAAGCAAGAATACGGTATTTGACTTGATCATAATCTACCACTTAACTCAAAACAAATAGCAAACATATGGGATATGAAAATAATAACCCAAAATAAAGCACACCCAACTGGCACCACACCAGCAACAGAAAAGGGGAAGTTAACATTGAAAATGCTAATATACCTCCCACAACTTGTTGTAGGCATCCTCATAAAACCGTAAAGCTTCAATCCAGTCACTTAGAAACTCTGCGTAAACGGCAGCCTATCATAGGGTGGCAGAAAGACAATCAGCAATTGAACAACTTCAGAACAAAGAACAATATAAGCAATTATAAAACATCTGTATACTGTGCAATAGAGAAGTACAAATAATTGAGGTGCTGTTACCAGCTTGTCAGATAAAAATTGCCAAACTATACACTTTCCCGATATTAAAATACATTATACTAAATAGAGTTTTACTCTACCATCATAAATATCTTTTACACACAAAACACTCGAGAATGGCTGAAAGGGCAAATCTATGATTTATATTCAAGAACCTCTTCAGATATGTCTCAAGCTCTCAGCACTAGTGTCAGCAGAGGTGACTGAAAAGTGTTACTTTGGACCAGGGCCAGTAAAAATGCCATTCTTAAGTAAAGATCCGTCAAATTGAAATAAATTGTTAAATATATCTTACGGACCATCTAAAATGTTTGACTACTGCGTTGTGAGAGAGGAGAACTTACTTTAAAACAATACCGAACGTGCAACTCGGCGTAATTGTAATTCCTCTTCTCAATACGTGTTTTCACCTTTCTTCCTTCATCTTTGTAGTACGTATTTGCTAGTTCCGAGAAGGAGTTCCGTAGCCTGCGCAAAGGGTGCTATAAATAATGACGAAGTAGGAGCATTTCAAGTTCGATACAGAGAAATGCAAGTAAGTTGCAAAAACACGGGGGCGAGAAAAGGGAAATGCCTGTGAAGTGATTGCTTAAGTTCCGAAGCATCATTAGGCTTAACAAAGACAACATATTTTGAGTCTACTTCAGCACGTTTGCGTAGAGCAACCATTCGATCTTCGTTGATATAATCTGCGTCGAAAAGCTTAAATTAATATATAATCACAAAAGGAAGTAACACACTCTTCCATCAGCAAATGTATTTACCGTTGGAATCGGAATTGACAATAATGACAACTAATTTGATGTTCCTCGAACGAGTCACAGCTCTGCAATGGGATTAATATTAAGATTAAGGGTGGTGCTGCAGCGAATATAAGACAAAATTAAGGAAGAGAAGTGATGAGGAAGTTACTTGAGGTGATCGAGATCGGAGCAGAGCTGAAGCCACTGGCCAGGATCACCAGAAACATGGTGAGAAGGGAAGAGAGCAGCGACAACAGCAGGGAGTTTAGTCCGATGCTTAAGAAGCCAATCCCTCTTCAGGATACCGGGAGGGGGAGAAGAGAGAGCGGGTTCGGGGGAATCCTTGGGGGAAGGAGGGGGGAGGAGGAAGGAGATCTTGGAGAGGTCGGGGAAGGCGAGGGTGTGGATCGGAGGCTGCTCGGAGAGGAGGTGAGAGGAGATGGTGGGATGAAGCTCAGGGCACCCGACGAGCGAAATCAACCTCACCGGTGGAGTCCGCAGCTCTTCCGGGTAATTCTGCATTCTTCTTCTTCTTCTTCAATTCAATTCAATTCTGGTATGGAAAAAGACGTGTGCAATCAAGATTCAAGAAGAAGAGAGGAGAAGTGGCGGATCTAGTCTAGTAGTGTTGCACCATTCCGATGGAATGGAATCAACGAAAATTCATCGGTGTAGGGCGAAATCGGAGACCGTCGCAATAAATCGTAATTTGGTGCGAATTCATTTCTTTCATTTTTTACTAGAGATTTATATTTATTTAAAAAAAAATTGAAATATTTTTTTTATTACTATTTATTCTTTTTTAGTACATGTGTAACAATTTAATCTCTGAATTTTAACCGGTACAATTTTTTCTAGTTTAAAAGTTGTAACAATTTATACTTATAATGTAAAATCTTGTTAATTAAGTGTCGATTTTTACCATATAATAATTTAGTATTTGTAATTTAAAAATGCATTTGGTGCTCAAGTTTATTGATCAATATATATAAAAAACTTAATAAAAATCTTCACGATAGATACTAAATCGTTATAAACTTTAAAATATAGGAGATTAAATTAATACATACTAAATCATCGCTAATTTGAAATTACAGAAAATCCTTACTTTATCAATCCATCTAATCCAAGGTTGAAATAAATTAGGTTAAACAACACTCTTGGTCCTTGTACTTTTGTCAAAATAACAATTTAGTTCATGAACTTTAATTTCCAATAATCTAATCATTGTACTTTCAAATTACTAACAATTCAGCTCTGAACTTTAATATGTTATAATTTAGTCTATTTGTAATGAGTTAGTCCCTGTCATTGAAAACATTTGTTAAGTTTCTTATATAGGTAGATTAGTGAATGATCAAATGTACTTATAAATTACAAAAACTAAATTGTTATATGATAAAAATCTAACACTTAATTATGATGAAATTTTCACTAAATTGTTACAAATTTAAAACTATAGAGACTACGTTTTTGCATACTAAGTTCAGAAACTAAACTGTTACCCACTAAATAAAAAAAAAATTGTTTCTAATTTGAACAAAATGTGTTTTTTAACCTAAAAGATAATATATATTGAACATACAGGATACACGATTCAAAATCATTTTTGTGTTCTGTTAAAGAATACAACAATTCAAACAAATGAAAACTCACATCTTTAGCAACATCTAGTTTCTAAACTAGTTGACTTAAGAAATAACAAGATTTCCAAGATCAGCCTTTCTGTTGATATGCCTGTTTCTTTCATCCCATTCCAAATTTTTAAAGAAAGAACATATAAATCAAAGCCTTCAACTTCAAAGCAACCCCATCAAGTAATATACCTATGAAATAATAAGTGATGGTGTTTGGGTTTTGGAATTCTTGAATCCAGTAGATTGCTACATGATCTAGATTTATAGTTTACTGTTCTCAGAACCAATCTCTTGCAGGTAATGTTCTGCATCCAAAGCAGCCATGCAACCTGCATCATTTCAACACATTACTCCAATGAGAAACCGACCCGGGAACTCGAGTACTCGAAAAACAAGAGAAAATCTCAATGCAGGACTTGCAGAAACAAAAAGGTTTGGTTCAATTTGATTTGAACAGTTCTGATCAAACCTATAGAAGAACAAGAAATGGAGAATAGCTTGCTCTATTTTTCAACGAACTGAAACTGAAAATAGGCAATTGGCCTTGTAATAGAATCATGAAACCCGGGGTTCTTTGTTACAAAAAACTGCTGTCAGATGAAGAATATATTCCATCTTACTCAAGTCTAAACATGCCAAAAATTTTGTAGAAAATGACTCCTAGCCTGTGAATATCATTTTCCAGGTAAAATCCTAAGTTCGTCCACCAAGATGGTCTCTCTTGAGTATCGATGACTCAGTGAAATGTAACCTTGATCTTGTTTCAATATTGTGAATGTTTAAAGGACTATATTCAGAGAGCTCATTCAAACCATCAGTACAGCTATAATCAGAGAAAAAATTAAAAAACAGCGCTGAGTTTGCAAGAAACGGAGCAACAAGCATCTCCATAAAATTTATCCTATCCATACAAAAAACCCTTTTATCAAACACCAAACTTGATTTGAGAATTGATGAATACCAAAATGCAAGTAGTGGGGATAACAAGTAATAGGAGAAAGGGAGAGTAATCACTAACCAGTGCCAGCAGCAGTAATAGCCTGTCTATATCTCTTGTCCTGAACATCTCCGGCTGCAAAAACTCCACGAACGCTGGTTCTAGTCGACCCCGGCCTCGTCACGACATAGCCATCGGAATCGAGCTGGAGCTGCCCGTCCAAGAACTTGGTCGCAGGTTCATGCCCAATTGCAAAGAACAGTCCAGAAACCCCCAAATTAGAGACCTCTCCACTAACCACATTTTTCACTTTCAAGCCTCCTAAAACTCCTCTGTCTCCGTCGCCATAGGCCTCCACCACCACAGAATTCCAAAGCACCTGAATCTTAGGGTTGCTCAGTGCCCGCTGCTGCATGATTTTGGATGCCCTAAAAGCGTCTCTTCTATGGATGATGTAGACTTTAGAGCCGTACTTGGTGAGGAAAATCGCTTCCTCCATGGCTGAGTCACCACCTCCGACCACCGCCAACGGCTTATCCCTGAAAATGGGGGCCGCGCCGTCGCAAACTGCACAAGCCGATATGCCGCGATTCCAAAACCCTCGCGGCGCATCTCCGGAGCCTGGAAACGATAAACGCTTCGCAACAGCCCCTGTGGCGACAATTACAGAGTCGGCGAGTACGGCTTTTGAATCGGTGAAGATCTTGAAAGGATTGGTGGAGAAATCGACTTTGCTAACGGTCTCGGTGAGAATCTGAGTTCCGAAACGGAGAGATTGATTCCGGCACCGGTCCATGAGATCCATCCCGAGGACGCCGTTTGAGAATCCGGGGAAGTTCTCGACGTCGGTGGTGGTGGTGAGCTGGCCGCCCGGCGCAATGTCGTTGGCCATCCATCCTTCGAAGAGGATCGGCTTGAGCTCCGCCCGGGCCGCGTATATGGCGGCGGTGTGGGCGGCGGGGCCACTTCCGATGATGCAGAGCTTGGTCCTGAGGTTTTGAAGATGGACATCGTCCATGGCAGCGATTTTGGATCCGGAACTGGCGGGGCTGGAAGAAAAAAACGCTGCCGCAACTGTAGTGGACGCTACGCCGATTAAATTTCGAGCTCTTCCGAGAAACCCAAATTTCATTATGCTCTTCTTCTCCACTCTTTTCAACCTATCGATCATAAGGGATGAGTTTATTCGTTTCCCCAAGCAGAGCTCTCTCGTCTGAAGCAAAGCAACAACTACTTCTACGAACCACAATTCTACCTCAAGCCAATAGATTATGGAAATTAATCCATTTAATCATAAAATTTAAGAATACAGAAATGGTATTGTTTAGAGAGAGGGGATGGGAAATGGAAAAAGAATATACTATGGTTAACTTCGGAAGCTTCATTTCTTGTCTTGTTAACCTCCAACCTACTATGGTTGAAGGTTAAACACTTTTTCTCATGTCCATAGCAGCTCTATAAAAACTATACAAGTTTTTCCAGGTCTTCTGTCACAAAAAGCAGCCAGAAATTTGGAAGAAGCTAAAGTTGTGGTAAATGTGGCTGGGTGGGCGGCTGCAACTCTGAACGATCGATCAGTCCTTCTAAAACAAGGAGTTCATCCAAGAGACCGAGCTTCTCTTCTTCAAGGGTCTTTACCTCATCTTCCACTTCTTTCAGTTCTGATCCCAAAGCAAAACTCTCTTCCTCCAGGAGCAAATATTTTCTTCTCAAGGCTCGGTACTCGTTCCCAGATGCAGAAGAATCTGGCAAAGAATCCGAATTTGATCTTTCTGGCTGCTGAAATGCTACTGATGGTTCATTCTTCAAACTTCTTTTGGAGGATTTTTGTACTGTTTGTGCTGGAAAAGACCCCTTTACTCGATCGATTTCTTTCCCTTGTAAATGAGATGCTGTGGAAGCTTTCTGGTGTGAAGCTTTCTGCTTCTGTGGCCTAGAATATGGTAGATCGTCAATCCGAGACATGGCTGGAAGGTTGTTATTCTTGCCGCAAATGCTATGCAAAAGATTAAAAGCACAAAGGAACAGAAAATTAGTCATTATTGCAGAGGTCGAGAGCAGAACATAAGTATCAGTGTATCACTACTAGCCATTGGTAAGAAAATTGAGTCCTGATTACACATATCACATATGGCATAGGAGGGCACATAAGGCAATAAAGTATGTCGTGCTGAGGTTCGAGATGCAGGCGAAAACATTTGACATCAAATAGAATCATTATAGCGAGCCATGTATCTTCTTTTGAATAATACTTCAAAGCATTAACTTTTACCATCACAACAAACAAATCCAAAATAAAATAGCACAACTATTTCATCCAAAAATCCGAACAGAGAACACCAACTTGAAGATACAGTCATGAACATTCTGAATTCCATCATCACTGAGAATCATCTTGCTCTCTTTCGTGTAAAATACAACAAACACTCGTGGCTTGAAAGTTTTAGAGGATGTATTGAAGTCATTACTTAGTAGGGGTCAACTTAGACTGCCCTTAGCTAATAAATAAGAAGCTGTTCTATTTATTTTAACATAGATAATGAAATAGTTACATGAAAGAAGAAAATGTGATGGGAAAAACAATAGCAATACTTCAAACTTCCAGAACAATAAACCGAGGGAAATAAATAATGCCAAATATTTAGAAGGACAATGAAACAAACAAGACCTACAAAAATTAATAGATAGAAAAAGGAAAACAGAAACAAAAATTAGCATTAGAAAGCTCAGGCTGATTCAGTAAGTGAAGAAAAGAAAATTGAAGGGAACAAACAAAGGATGGTAGTCAACCAATCACCGGAATGGAGAATGGCTGCTAGCCTGCTAACAGAAGGGTGATTGCCCTTTTTTACATCCTTTACAGATATACAATCAATGACGTGACCCTTATATGTACTCTCATTCTCAAACAGCATAACTCTCTCATTCAAGACAATTCTAGTAGGCAATAAAATCTCATCAAACTGCCTCTTATATATAGTAAACAGATATATGTATATTAAAACTTTTTTTTATAAGAAACAACATATATATGTAAATTCTATTTATAAGGAACATGCTAAGGGCCAAGGGACGAGAAGGCCCCCTCCCTGTAATGATTTACTTACACAATAAGAATCTTTTGATCTGACATAATCAAAATGTCTCATTATACACCCCTTTTTTCTCTCTGATCGGATCCATCTTACTACTCTCTCTCATTCTCACCACACGATCCCCCACAAGCATTATATACTCTTTTCCTCTCATTTTTGTGATTAAGGGGAGAAATGTTTTCAACTAAGAGGGAAATGTGACATTATTCTGAGAAATAGAGATGCCTAGATAGGGGTCAAATGGTACAGTAGTTTGTCAAATTTTCAAGGCATATAAACAATAATAAATGATGGTCACACTTATAATATATCCGCCAATTACATCCAAAGCAATAGAGCATATTATATTGCCAATGTAAGAAATCAAAATGGAAAAATTGACCTTAAACATTCAGTATTTAATTTTTAAAATGTTCATAACATGCAAAGGTTTGACCTCAAAAGAATTCGGATCAAATGTAAAACCCATTAATAAATCCCAGACGATAAAATAATGACAGAAATTATATCAGACCGCAGTTCTGAATCCAGAAGTGTAAAATCTAATAGAGTTCGTCATAAAATCTGATTAAAAAAACCTTCCAACGTACATCAGTTTATTCTACAACAACATAGAGAATTAGAATCAATGCAAAGAGTCAATTCCACTTTCCATACCAATATTTTATGAGAACTTAAGACTTCTAACTAAGAAAGGAGGGAGTTACAATGTGGATTCGATGAGAACCCACCATCAAACCAACTAATAGAACAAAAAAATAGAAGAGCACCAAAAATTACATGTACAGCTCAACAGGAACAATTCCCGACTAAAGAGCAGATAAAAACTTTGATTATCAAATAAACAATAAAGAACGTCCAATTACGGGATAGCATAAAAACAGTCCCCAAGTATTAGAAGAGAATGACAATCTAGACCATGTATAAAAAATTGTTCAGTTAAATTCATTCTAATTCATCGGAGCTAGTAGTATTAACAAATTTATAAAGAAATTTGAAACTCGTCCACTCTAAAATGGATCATTTTATGGAACACTTGAGCTACACCACACCAACCACTGAATGCTGATAAAGAAAACGCAATGGTCAAAAGACCTTACAAAGAGAACTTTCTTCCGTGAATTAGGCACTCTCCGAATTCATCAAAACTGACGAAGCCATAAGAACAACAAGTACATTATACACTTAATACATGAACCACCGGCAAGGATAGGGGGTGAATAGAAGGAAAAATCACACCAAAACCTCCGATGAAGCATCATACATCAGAAAATACATCAATATAACGCAAATTAAAACCTAGAATATAAAATCGTTGCTTCTAATTAGATTCGAAACAAGAAGAGACACCAATTAACCAATCAGACGGTCCATGCCTCTACATTAGATCCTACCTAATTTAAAGAACATCCCCTGCCGCGGAAATAACAAACATCAAAAACGGAGATAGCCATGGAGAAACCTGATCGTACCTCGAGGAAACAAAGTTAAGCGCGGTTCGAAGTGAGAGGCGCAAAAAGCTTATGGTCGGAGCGCGGCAGAATTGATCGTTGCTCCGGTGCGTTAGAAAGGTAATCAACGAGTGAGATTGTGAGAGGGGAAGTTAGATCATTGAGCGGGAGACGGCGGAGAGTAACAAGCTTGGGGTTGGGGAGGAAATTGGGCAACGAATGGAGTCGATTTTGCCGTCTGAAGAGGCTATTGGACGACCGTCGACGATGAACAACGAATTAACTTCACGACCGCTGTTGCGTAACGCGTAGAGAATCAAAAGGGAAATCGCATGTGCTCCCCTACGATAAAAGAAAAATGAAGGGAATTGATGAATAAATTTGCAAATTGGCACTTCTTTAAACTGAAATTACAAAATTGCCACTCTCGAACTTAAAATACAAAACAAAACTAAATTGAAACTTAAAAAAAAAAACGAAAAATATACACACTTGTCCATAATCGTTTTTCAGTAACTCTTTTTAAGTTTTTAAAATTCTCACATACCACATTTATCTTTGATGGGTTAAAATTTATCAACTAGGTCCTGTCATAAACAATTTGTTAATTTTATTGATAAAAGGTTAAATATTATTGTTTTACATGGGTTGCCACGTGAAATCTTACGGGTACATCATTTAAATTTGACTCCTTCATCTTTCGTGTTCAATTCATTATATTAAATATATGTCGATATGTTGTACTAAATAAATAAATAAATATCCGTCAATACGTCGATATTTCCATATATCACAAAAAAATCGATGAAATGTGAAAAAATATCAACAAAATATTACTAATATATACCAAATATTAGTATTTGTTTATAAATAGGAAAATATTTATTCGTAAATTTAAAAAAATTTTACGATTTTTTAATTTCTCTAACTCTTACATAAATATATTTCAACATCGATATTTTATTGATGTTTCCATGAGATTGAGACTTCGACATTTTCACAATATTTTAAAATTTTGATTCGATAAAAAATTATTTTTAATTGATTTTAGCATTTTATATATCTAATTAATTGATAATTTTTAATATAATAAGGATAAATGCGGGGTTTAAAGAAAAACAATGACCGAGTCTATGATTCTATGGTTATCCAAGTCTTGGGCAGTTCCACTCAGTATATTTAATTGCTAAGAAGTTTTTGTTAAAATACTATTTTGATCTCTAAAATTTAAAAAAAAATTATGATTTTGGTTTCTTAATTTAATTTTTAACTAAAATTTTTCTATTACAATTTCAACGTTATATTTCTTGAAATATAACTATTACTTTATATTAATATAGTTTAGATTTGATATTGAATTTGTGTTAAAATTTTACAAATATAAATTAAAATGATTATTTTTTAAAGATAAAAAACTAAAATAAAAAATTACATAGTTCAGGATAATTTAAAAGTAACCATATGTGATGTACCAAAATAATATTATAATGAATAATAAAATTTTCATTATCCGTCCAAATCAGCCTAATCTAGATAATTAGCATATATGTCAGATCAACCGTTTATAAGTTAGATCCACTCGATAAACAGATTTGAGCTAAATCCGGGTGTTAAAAAATAGAAATGGCAGACAAAAAATACCATAAGCCTTATCTACTCGTCGTCTGCTGCTACGCCTGCAAGTTCGAATATGAATTCCATTTTATTTTCTTGGAGAACTTAAGCATGGCAGTACCAGTACAGCAACCCAAATAGGCCGCTGGAGGCATTCCATTAGGGAGATTCGACAACGGAACCGATCACCAGTACTGTTTCAAGCTTCAAGTTCGCCGTCGCTTCTCCGACCTCAATCGGCCCTGTCGCCTCAGGTTGAAAGCACTTCATATAACTAATTGAAAGATTCTGTACAATGAACGGATCATTTTGCTGTAATCATATACAACAACATCCACAATTCTTTAGAATTCAACATTCGAGCTTCTCCTCGAGGGGAAGAAACCCTATTCAATGGCCATCTGCAGTTATACAGACGGCGGAAGGCCAAGCGGCGACCGAGGAAGCTGACTCCCAATCGGAATCAGTTGCTCGTCGCCTTATTCTGCTTCGTCATGCCAGGAGTTCGTGGCAAAAGCTCTCACTACGAGGTGGCATTTTCAAATCTCTCGTATTATTGGACTGTATACACAGCCACGAATAACTTGCACTATCTGATACTCTTTCACGTGCAATTTCATTTCAGTTTATTATGTTTCTGTCAAGGTCAAGAATCAATTAGTTTTTTTTTTTTTTTTTAAATTATTGTTCGCCAGATCATGATCGCCCATTGAGTAAAGATGGAAAGGCTGATGCTATTAAAATTGCTCGTAAACTCCAAGAATTGAATTGGATCCCTGAACTTATTTTATCCAGGTTAGGTTTTCCTTCAACTGGTTGTACACTTTCATGATTTCTTTTTCTCTCCCTCATTCAAACAACCCTGTTAGAACTTACAATGCGCCCAGTACATGATTATAGGTATGATTTTTGTTCTCGTGAGGTTTCTCACATTTCCATTAATCACTTCTCTTCAATTCTTTGTACTAAAGTAGGGTATTCAGGACAAAAATTAAAGAATCTAACTGTCTAGCGTTTGGGTTTCGACTTGAATTTACTGGAGCAGTGACGCCAAGCGAACCAGAGAAACGCTTAAGATAATGCAGAATGAAGTTAGCAGTTTTTCTGAAGCAGAGGTGCATCTCATTTCCAGTTTTTATTCCATTGCTGCCATGGATGGTCAGACTGCGGAGCACCTTCAACAGGTTATCTGTAATTATTCGCGGAATGAGATAATTACAGTCATGTAAGTCTTACTGATTCTAGATATGAAAAAGTACACACATATTCATTGGTTGGGACAAACAGTTTCACTAGCAAAAGAGCAAGTACAGAGAACGAAGGGGAACTGTTTGCCAATAGCATCATTAGTTTTGAGAGCTTTTTTGTTTATTGGTTACTAGTGGATACTTTTCAAATAGGTTAGGTCATATAACCAAGGTGAAACGAGTTGATCCCACATGGTACTTGCGCAACATTTTTACTATACTTCATTCATGGATCATCTGTTGCTCTTGTATAAACCATGCAATACTACATGTTTTAGTCTCCTCTCATGTCATAACTCATTCCATTTTGGAGTCAGATATCTACTATTATGAAATTTAGTGTAAAACTCTTCCCACATAATCGACATTATTTGTGTCAAATGGCCAACATGTTGCATAATGGTTTCAAGCAAGGAATTGTGAAGTAATAATTTGATATGGACCGTGACATAAATAGGGGGAAATGGTAAGGCAGCAGTGATTTTTGTGCAGGTGTATGGGACATAATAGAGGGTGGGAAGAGGCAGCCTCAATGTTTAGTGGCTCCTCCATTGAACTGAAGACATGCAATGCTGCTTTGCTTGAGGCTTCAGGAAAATCATGGGACGAGGTCAGGCTACTTAATCCTTCTGATTGATATGATGAATTTCAATTTTTGACCTTTATGCATGACTGAGTAGACATGTATTATGATTATTGTATGTGTACATACGGTAGGAATATAAGTGCATGTTTGTTGAGGTTTCACATTGTTTATTCCTCAGTTAACTTAGAGGCAGACTAACAACTTTTCTCTTTTTTTTTTTCTAGAAACAATTTGGATACTCAATACTTTATTCTTATATCCCGAAAATGAAATTTTCTCTGTATCTTGGGCAGATTTGAACCCATAACATCTTCATTGGATTAAAAGGTTTCTACATGCAACTATTCAGAAAATGCATTTTCATATCTGATGCTGAGTCCTATGAGGAATATTATATTAGAGCATAACTTTGGTTCAATTAGGTGGTGGTAGTCATACATTAATGAGCGACATGATGAAAAGATCTTGATCACTAATAGCAAGTGCCTTAGTTTTTAGTACATTCATCTGAACTCTCAGTTGCAGAAGAAATTATTGGAGGATGCTGCTACAATATAGTTGACAGTTTTACTCCGTTGAATTTATGAGAGAGAAACTATAAAATTATCTCGAATCTATATTTTAAGTGGTTAGCAGGGGATCTCTATCTAATAGGGAGTAGCATTCAATAATTTTTCCAGTTGCACTAGGTTGTTGAAAATAGCTTAAATATCACCAAGTTATGGTTAAAAATAGGTTTAATACTATTGTGGTCCCCATACTTTTGGTTTTAGTTCATTTTATCCTTGTACTCTCAAAACATTCATTTTGGTCCCTATACTCCCAACTTTTGTTCATTTTAGTTCTTGTATTTTTAAAATGTTCATTTTAGTTCATATACTTTTAAAAAGTGACCAATTTTGTCTATGTTTGCCAAATTTTAACACAAAATTTATACCCAATAAAAACTCTTCAATAAAAATTTACGACTATATTTGAAAAAATTTAGTGAGTGAATTGTCATATTAGAATTATGATCGAAAGAATGATGAGATGAAAATGAAAATGAAAGGACCAAAATGATCACTTTTAAAAAATACAGGGACCAAAATAAACATTTTAAAAATACATATACTAAAATAAACAAATGTTAAAAGTAAATCTACTAAAATAGACATTTTGAAAGTACATGTACTAAAATGAACCAAAATCAAAATTAGAGAACAGAAAAATTACTTAAACCTTACAAATATTAGGTGCGTTTCAAGGGTTTATGGAACCCATATATCTTCTCATGCTTTTTTTCAGAAGAAGTAGACGGAATCCTCCTATTTATTGCTTCCCTTCTTTCTTCTCTTCTTTTGTCTGAAGATCCTATTAGATGGTCAGGATCACATGTTTTGTCCATTATAACAAATATTGCCTGTAGATGCTTTCACTATAATGCCAAGTAAATTTTGATAAAATCTTTTGCGGTTGCTGTGCTGATCTTTACCTTGTGATCTACATATTCAGGCATTTGCTTTGGCAGGACTAGGTGGGTGGAAGCTTCATGGCATAGTAAAACCAAATAACAGTTCATAGAACGTCTTAAAAGTTTTTCTAGAGTTCTATCTATAGAATTTTTCCCTGGTGGGTTTGACAAAAATTCGACTGGTCGGCCTTGTGCATATTTAGCACCGAAAAGTTTTACCATTTAACTTTTTCCTCTTAAGTCAGGATTCTTTGTGTCGGAATTAGAAAGCATCTTCATACATCAACAGTGTGTTTTGATTTTGAATGGTTTTTTCTTTGATAGTTAAAAAGTGCTTGTTCGCTCAGCAGTAATTAAGAACTTGTTAAACTGCTCTTGGAGGATATTATTGTTAAGTGAAGTATTTTAACATGATTGTATAATAAGTGTTCAATATTTAAAATGCTACTCTGAAAGTACTTTTTGTTTATTTATTTATTTATTTATTATTATTATACTAATAGCAGCTTATAAAATTAGTTAAAAGTATAGTGCTATTTTGGTTCTTCTTTTTGACTTTGGTTGGTTCATTTTGTTTCTTGTATTTTTAAAACATTCATTTTGGTCTATTTACTTTTAAAAATTGATTAATTTAATCTTGATTTGTAAAATGTTAACACAAATTTTATATACAATCGAAATTATTTAATACAAATTTATGGTTTCGTTTAAAGAATTTTTTAGCGACAAAGTGTAACGCTAAAAATTATGATGAAAAAATGAGATAAAAATAAAAATGAATACATCAAAATGGTTACATTTTAAAAGTATATAAACTATGAACCAAAGTTGAAAGTAAAATGATCCCTAGAATCAAAATTAGTATCAAAATGATTGGAATCAAATCCACATAAACCATGTATATTTTAGTTATTATAATATAAAATGGTAAAAGTTGATGTGGTAATTTAAAGTGGCTTTTATGTACAAACAACTTTATGTCTATTTTTCAAAAACAAAAAAGAAAAACTTTATGTCTATAAAAAACAAAAAAAAAACTTTATGTGGTATGTAAGGTATCTTAGTATAAAAAATAAAAGTTGTAACCTAAAGAAATGTCCTTTAGCCATTCAAATATGAAAATGCCTCTTTTTATCTAATTCTTTCTCACATGTCACATTTTAACACAATAAAAAGGTTGTTATAAAATTTTTTAAACAACAGTTTAAATAGTAAAGTTAGGATTTTAATGTGAAAGTGAACATAACTCAGCGATAATTGACATCGAATTAAGGTAGGTAGTTGACCATCATTTCTATTTTTCTCAAAAAAAAATCTTAAGGAAAAGAGAAAGTAAGTCAGGGTTTCAATTGCAATTTGCACCATTCCAAGAAAAAATTTGCACCCATTAATCTCTCTGGAGCACAAACAAAATATTAACTTTATCCCTTTTTGTATCTCATTCTTTCTTAAAAGTCAGAATATACATATATAAGTTAAATACTATTTCATCTGTGTTTTTTAATTTGGTTCGTTATGATCTAATTTTTAAAGGTGATCATTTTGATTTCTATTTACAAAATTTTTTCACAAATTTTATACATATAATAGAAATTATTTAACACAAATTTATGACTACAGTTCAAATAAATCTAATTCTAATGAGAGAAACATCTATGCTAAAGTTGCGTTGGAAGTAAATGAGATAAAAATGAAATTGAAATGACAGAAATAGTAATCTTTTCAAAGTATATGGATCAAAATTGATATTTCGAAATTACAAGAACTAAAACGAAACGAAACAAAGTTAGAAATACATAAACCAAGTAGATATTTTAAAAATATATTGATCAAAATGAATCAAAAGCAAGAGTGTAACCCAAATAATATTTAAAGTTTTAAACTAAAAATATATTAACTTCAAACCAGAATAACTCAACTGACAAATATCAATTAAATTTAAAGAATTCGTATGCTAATTAATTAGGAAAAAAAAGTACCTTTTCCCCCACTTTTAAAAGCAATTCAAAAGTGGCAAAATACAGTCCCCTATTATTATTTTTTAAAATTTTAATAAATGAATCGGATTTATTATTAGTTGTGTATCCAAAATTGAAAAAGTCTACAGCAAGTTATTATCCATAATGGTCTGGTTGGGAGTTGACTTTATTAAAATTGAAAACTAGCATAATATTAAAGCAATCTAGTATTAATTAGTGTCTAATTATATGATCAAAATTTCAAAGTAGTAATCAAGATCAATAAATACATACTAAAAAAACTTATTTACACTCATGTTATTAGCACACTAAATACTATTTTAGTTCCAGTACTTCGAATCTAGTTCATATTGGTCTCTATATTTTCAAAATGTCTATTTTAGTTTCTATACTCTCAATTTTTGTTCATTTTTAGTCTATGTTTCCAAAAATTTGTTTTAATCTCCATACTTTAAAAAGCGACCATTATGGTCCCTTAATTTTCAATTTCATCTAATTTGTTTTTATCAAAATTTTAGCATGAAACTCACTTGTTAAAAATTTTAAAATGTAGACATAAATTTGTACTAAATAATTTTTATTAAGTATAAAATTTGTGTTAAAATTTTACAAATAAGACCAATGTGATTAGTTTTATAAATTACATAAACTAAAACAAATATTTTGAAAGTATAGAAACTAAAATGGACAAAACTTAAAAATACAGAAACTAAAATGGAAATTTTAAGAGTAGAAATACAAAAATGAATTAATAACTACACTAGTATTTAAACATTAAATTATAATTTCAAATTACGAAAGTGTCTACTTAATATATATATATATAACGTATGATTTGACATATACTCAAAATTACTATAAAAAAAAAGAAAAAAATAATATGTAAGTGTATTGTTGTTATGCTCTCAATTATAACTTCGACTAGAGGTTGTAAGTTCAAATTTCTATCCCATATGTTAGAGTAAAAATATATATATATAAATTATCACAACATGTTAGAGACCTTTTTATTAGATATTGTAAAAGATCCAATATTGGAGGAATAGGGAAAAAAAAAAGAATATTAACCATTTTATATGAATATTAAAATTTCAACTTTCTTACTCATTTTGTTTTGGTATTCAATACATATATTATTTTTGTCTTTAAAAGTCTTAATTTTATTAATCTATGATCAAAATAAATTTTGGTAGTTTGTATGTAAAAGAGTATCCACTTTCTTAAAGGGAACTGATTTAGGAAAATCGTTAGGCGGCACGGCAGACAGCACCGCAATGCTCTAAGAATGTTGGATAATTGTCTCGAAATACTTCCATTACCGAGCAATTAACAAGCATTTCAGCCAATAATCTCTCCATTTTCCTCAATTTCCCCTCTTATGTAGACCATACGATTCTCGGGAAGGCAGGCGATTGGCCAGGTTTAAGCATCTGGGAATCACTCCAACGAGACTTTTCAATGATTGTGAAACTCTGGACGAGAAACAGCGGCGTCAAAGGAATTATCACGTCGAGGGGCCACTTGTTGGAGCTGGATTGCCTCTGTTAGTGTTTGCTGCTGTTTTTGGAGCCGTATCTCTTGGTTTTTTCCTTGCCTTCTGCCGATGACTCTGGATCTGGATATGCTTACTACCGAGTAATGTATTTGTGATTTTGTTATTGTATTGTTGGTTATGACGGTGGGTGGAGGTGGAGATCGAGTTGAGAATTTTTGCGGCGTTCGAGTTTTTGGTGCTTGAGATGCTTGCTGGGCTTCTTTTTGAAGAATGGTGAACTGAAATTGTGACTTGGGTTTTCTATCCCTATGAGGCGGAGTAGCCGTCGGGGATTTTCGGAATCAACATGATTGATCAGTTCATCAATTTTGTAATTCGGCCGCCTAGGTATTCTTTCTGCTATGCCGTCTCGCTTCGCCGAGTTTTCGCTCCTTTTTCACGATTTGTTGTGCTACTGAGCTGTTATTTCGAGCTACACAATTTTCGTTCCGCCCGACTTTAAATTTGTTTTGGTCTTTTTTTGACTGGGATGTTATGTTATGTGGCTTTGTGAGCACAATTCTGCAGTTGAGATCTTGTTTGTTACTGAGGCTCATGAGCCGCAGAATCACTCAATTTTGTCAACTTTTGCCTTGGTTTTTTCTTGTTTTTGGGTTTTTTCATGCTGCTTATTTTTCTTGTGATTTTACCATTTATAGAATATTTATTTGACTATCTCATGTTCTTGCTGTACAGGGCGGATTATAACCCTGATCAATATTTATGGGAGAAAAACTTCACTCTCGCCGGTAGAGCGTATCAGCGACAGGATTTGGAGGCAAGTATGGATGGACAAATTCTTCCGTTATTTTTATAAAAGTTGCTGCCTGTTCAGTATCATTTTTTTTTTTGTTCACTTTGATTTCTAGTCAATGTATATTAACAATATTCACCAAATATACAGCTAAGAAATTCGAGGGGCCATACCTTGCAATGCAGTCATTATTTGCCTTCACCTTGTCCTGAAGATGCCCCTCTGCCTTGTGTCATATATTGCCACGGTAACAGGTACATACTCCTTGCGGAATAATATACTGTTGGAAAAGGTTCCTGATCATTCTCTGCATTGGACGATCTCCTTGTTTTATTACTTTAAAAAATAATAATAATAAATAAATTATTTTGTACACGTTCAATTTCAGTTTTCCTATTTTTGCTCCTCGTGATGATTCTATATAATTTTTGGGACGTTCTTAACTAAGTTTGTACTTGGACAATTATTCAGTGGATGTAGAGCAGATGCTAATGAGGCTGCTGTCATACTACTTCCATCAAATATTACTGTTTTCACGCTTGATTTTTCGGGTTCAGGCTTGTCTGATGGAGATTATGTCAGCCTTGGTTGGCATGAGGTACCTTTATCCGTTAACTATACATCTTTGTTTCAGTTAATTGAGGTTCTGAATCTGATATCTTTTAAAATATGATTTCAACGACATAAGAGAGATGACCTTAAGGTTGTGGTGACATACTTAAGAAGCAACAAACAAGTATCCCGTATAGGTCTCTGGGGAAGATCCATGGGTGCTGTAACTAGGTATGTTGAGTCATATTCTTCAGCATGCTATCATCACTATATTGTATGCCTCAATGTTTTAATTTGTCATGGAATTGATCTTAGAGTGAAACTATGAAGTGAAAATTCTTTAGGTGTGTTGAGTTTAGTTTGTTCTGCAGGTCCTTTTTCTTTTCTGTCTGTAATTTTTGACAAATGATGTGTTGATGCAATCATGCTAGATCATGTTATGACTTTGTGCATCTTATTTGCCATGTACTAGTGGCTCAAACTTGTAGATGAGGTGAGTTGGATCTCGAGGGAACTTGGGCAAAGTAGATGTGTATAAACTCTACAAATTTTCTCAAGTTAATTATATGTCATTTCCCATAATATTGTTTATTTTAAAAATGAAACCTTCTACTTAATAAAGCTCCTCATGCTATTGATGAAGTTTTTACCCACTAACGACCTTATGTTGGTGGATGTGCTCCTTAGTTATGGAAATTAAACTTGGTCAAACATGAGAGAAAACGTTATCCATACTCTTATTTATTTTTTCGTTGTTGCTAATGACTAATGAATTTTAGATGTTTTGAAATTCACCGAAGGAGGCTTGATAGAGCTTTCAACTACTTTCCAATAGTTATTGATGCAAGAAAGGCAAAGCCTAGGCCACTCAAGCTGGCCTGCTAAACCCTCCAATTTGAGACCTTGATTATCTGGTTGTGTATTTTTCAAATTAGAATCATCCATAGCAAGAAAGGTTGACATAACCTGGTCCCAAGTATGTCATCCTTACCGTTCTCTTTAAAGGGCCTGGAGTGTTGGATCGGTGTTGGCTGTTTGTGGAAATAATAAATGTGGCCTTCTTTTGACAAAACAAACACCTTTCCCATTTTAATGAGGGGGGTTCAATTTACTTGTTGAAACCATTCGACCTAGATCTTCCTTAGGGTAGGAAGTGTAGCCATTACTTTGATGCTACTATAACCAGGGATGCAAAAGGGTTCAAGTCTCCAATAGGGATAGTTGGTCATGTTCTCGAACAATTCTGCATTTTGGTGAAAGCACCATCCTGGAGAGGATTACAGGAGGTTAGGAAGGTATCTGTTTGAACTGAAGCTTTAATTTCCCTTTTTTTTTTTTGGAACAAAGCTGGAGCTTTAATTTCTACATCAAAGATGATATCAACCTTTGAAGGAAGAGAGCACAGAAACTCTCTTGAACTTTAATGCTAGCCTCCAACCCTCCATGAAATTGAGGGTTTTTTAGGAATACTTTTAATGGAAGAGTCTTCTTAGGAGTGGAAAAAGATGAGGGAACTATGTGGGATGACTGTGTGTTAATTTCCTCCTTGTGCAGTGTTCTACATGGAGTCTGGTGTAACAATTCCCTCTCTCCTTTTGTAGGCAATTTGAGACCTTTCCGTAACTCTTTTGATTTGGTGACTCTTGCCTTGTTATTTCATTCTGTTAGTGAAATATGTTTCCCACTTAAAAAACCCTACTGTTCACTTCTTCCTAATATTTTCCAGTTGCTGCTATTTCTTGTACTTCTGTGAAAAATACGTCCAATGAATGTTTAATAATTCAACAGTCTGGTGTAATCTAAAGATTTTTTACTTGACTGGAATTTATGATATTTCAAATTTTCTAGGAAGTATTCAATTACCTGAAGCCTTCTGTGATACAATGCAGTCTTCTTTATGGAGCTGAAGATCCTTCCGTAGCTGGAATGGTGCTTGACAGTGCCTTTTCTAACCTTTACGATCTAATGATGGAACTAGTTGATGTATACAAGATCCGACTGCCTAAATTCACGGTACAACCTCTCCTTTATTCCACGTTTTACCATCTAGGTTCACAAGTACATACTTTTTCATTGGATGCTGCTAATTTTTCCATTAACTACTTAGACTCATATGTTCATGCTAGTGTTGTGTAAAAAATATTTTAAACTAAGAAGTATGAATACTTAGCAAGCAATTCCAACAATGTGATTAAGCAACTCTGTTGTAACTTGAAATTAATTTTCTTTTAACAATACAAAGATGCTGTTCCATACTTTAGTTGTAATAGCATCTTATATCATTAATTAAAATGCTCTGGAGTATTCCTTGTAAAAAACAAGCACTAAGAGTTTGAGTGGATGATGACATAATGTAAACTCATATGGCAGGTAAAGATGGCTGTTCAATACATGCGGAGGGTAATTGAGAAGAAGGCGAAGTTTGATATCATGAATCTTAACTGCTTGCAGGTTTGTCTGGCATGTTATTCTGTTTGAGTTTTCTAGATTGGCTTCTTCACGTATATTTGCCTGTAATTGTGCAAAATTCCAATTATTTTACTGGAAAGAACTGTCTGCAAAAGTTTGACATTGCCTCTACCTTGAACATGAATGATGTGATTATTCGCTGCAGTACGTTTACATACATATGGAAACCATTTTTTTTTAAATGCCACCAGGTCACTCCAAAAACTTTCATTCCTGCTTTGTTTGGGCATGCTAATTGGGACAAGTTCGTACAACCTCATCACTCGGAACTCATCTATAATTCATATGCGGTATTGTCCAGTTTTAAAATAACCACACTTTTGAAATATAAAGCTTTAAAGTTTCTCATTTCTGATTCATTTCTCTTTATCATGCAGGGGGATAAAAATATTATAAAGTTTGACGGGGATCATAACTCATCCAGACCACAATTCTATTATGACTCAGTTTCTATTTTCTTCTATAATGTTCTTCATCCTCCTCAGTTATCTTCTGCTTCTCATGCAAGTAAGCTTGAGAAATATTATGATTTAGGGGATTTGAAGATTGGGCCTGATATGGATGAGGTAAGTTTCCATCTTGATGTCTTAGAGCAGTGCTATTTCATATTTGAGACTGTTACGAATTTTAGTAGGAAAACATTAAGAATATTACTTGTGACATATTAATTACTGTATCAGTAATTTGCTAGTAAGTTGTTAGAGTTTAGTTATAGATAGAGGGAGTAGGGGAGATTGAGAAGAAAGCAGATTTTGGAGAGTACCAGAGTTTTCGAAGTATTTGGAGCTTTATAAATTTTATTTTATTTTTTGTATCAATAACATGTTTAGTTTATTTGTACTTGAACACACAATCTGCAACCTGTTGATTTCCAGAATCTAATATACGAGATAATCTCGAGTCTTCATTCTACTGGAAATGATGCTGCTGCTTCATCTTCTGCTCCTAGTGTTCCAACCACAAAATTTGTTGGTGAACTGATTTCTGAAATTCCTTCAGTCACTGAAATAGTATGTCTTAATTTAATGGTCATCTTTCGATTTTTCCTTTTCCCATTGCTCAACGGTTGTTATGTGTCCATTCATTATGTGCGTTGCAGGATTCCACGCCTAATGACCATTGCACAATTAACAGTGATGAGCCATCACATTTGCAGGTGATCTTAAATTCACCGTTGTTGAAACTTAGAAAGTGGCTTAAACTTTAAATCTTGTTGGTGCTGTCCATGCCATCTCTAAATAAAAAGTAAAAACAGCTTATTTGTTTAGGTTTTGATGTTTTATAATCAGTATCCATTCTAGCTTTTGCAGTTTATAGACAACGTCTCTGCACCTTAAAAAGGGTTAATAGTGCAGGCCTTGCCAATTGTCATAATTTAATTGGGGTCTGTAGTTTCAATTTGTAGGACCAGCCAAATGGTGAAACTGAAGAATGTTGCTCGTATACAAGTTCGAATAGAGAAAGCTGGGGAAGATGCTCTTCTCTAGGGGGCAGTGATGAAGAATCTTCTACTGCTTGTGTAGTTTCTAAAAACAAATTTCAGGTCCTCTCCCCCATCTGATAAACTGAATCATGTCATGATCATCCATGGACCCATTTATTATCTCATGTTTTCTGACTAAAGCCGCTTCTTAGAAATAGAATAGATATCAGTGGCATTACATCCACACGGTAAATTTTAGGTTTTGGTCCCTTGTTGGAGAATGAGTTCAGTGTCCAGTTCAAAGATAGATAGTTGCCAGTGTTCTTTTTTCTGTATGCATGATATTCCTTTGAATGATTACAGGAGACTCTAGAAGCATTTCCAACACCTCTCCGAAACACACAAGGAAAACCATCAGATTTGTCGAAAGACGACAAGAAAAAGAAGAAAAAGAAGAAAGCTGCAACGTCTCAGAAGAAGTCGAAAACCGAGAAACTAGAAGCCCTTAGTAGACACCTTCGGCTTTGCATTTTAAGGCGAGTAAACCGTTGAAGAGGGCCCTTCATGATTTACACTGTACCATACCCACAACATTGTAAAATGGCGGCCATCGTATCTTTAGACTAAATTGTAGTAGCTCTCCCACCTCCCAACAACAAAAAGAACAAAGTTGGCAGTAACCATTTAGATTCTTATCAGTAAATTGACCTGTGCGGTTGTTTGTATCATTTTGTTTCATCCATTACTTCATTTAGGAGTTGTTACAAATTTAAAAAAATTGCAGAACAGTTGTATCTTAGAACTAAATGGAAAAGGAGGTAAAATTCGAAATTTTGGCATGAACTTGAATTCTGTGAAGATCTATTTGGTACTATGCTCCCTGTCTACGTTCTAGTTTGGATCAAACAGGTTCAAGTTTTCATTCGAAATCTTAATTGACATGTAGCACGAATTGAACAAACTTAACATAAATCTTCCGTCTCTTCTGTCTTTGAAGGTTTGGTTGTCGACTTAAATCAGTCAATTAGAAAAGAATGGAACATGTATTGGATTTAAATGGTTGGGGTTGCAAGGATGCAAGAAGGGGAAGGTCATTATTATAAAGCAAACGCAAAGATCGAATTCAACTCTAAAAATTCTCTAGTTTAAACAACGGTCCTACTCCGATTGTCGACATGATCGGTCATGGTACATCAAATATTGGTCCTACTCAGGAAAATATTTATGTGCCGAGATATGATACACCACAGTACGTGAAGACTTAACACAACTACAACTAGAGCTAACCGTGGAAGATAACTTATAGTAAAAACATGAAACACTTGAACTAAGACAACCTTGTGGTTTAGTCTAATCGGTGTTGATCCCCTATCGATATTCCAGACGAAGGATCGAACTTTTCCCCGGCTGGAAAAACTGAGTGTGATTCCTTGTAAGTGGAGTTTAAACTTGACTCCAGTATCTGATGTGCAAGTATCATTTCTGATTTGGAAAATGCACCATCCCTGCACTGCCTTGGTTTCTTCACTGGCCTTGGGCTCTCACTTGGGGAGCTATGGCAACCGGAATCTGGCGTCAATGGTTCGTGATGAGACGAGGAAGAATCATCAACAGATATACTCTTGGCTTGGGCACGTTCCTTCGACGCTTTCTCTTGGCGAGGGGACTCAGATGTTGGGGCAGGTGTTGGCGGGTCGTTTTTATCAGTTTCTGGGCAGTTGTCACCAGAAGCAGGAGCTGAAAAGGAAGAAGGAACTGGAGCTCCTGAAAGAACCCCACTGAGTTTTTGTTGCTCTTCAATTATCTTCTTTAGGTACTTGCCTTGGGCCTCAATCCGTAACTGAAGCTGTCTCTGCACCTGTTATAACTCACAAGTTACAATACATATTAGCAAGTTTGAAGAGAGAAATTTACAACTAAATTTCACAAAAAAGAGAGAATAACTAGAACTTGCCTCTAATTGTTCATGCAGTCGCTTCTGGACTTCCATCTGCAGCTTAAGTGCTTCGGTAATTTGCATTCCACTGAAAATACAAAGAACAAATAAAATGATTACTAGTATGTTTTTGTCTTTCACTATCTTGTTCTTTTAACCAGGTGGTGAGAACAGTATAGAGAGTTTAGCCCATCAAACAGGGGGGCGCCTGCTTCTGAATTATAATTACATCAACTTTCTATACAACAAAAGAAATGAATGAGAAGTGTAGAGCAATTAGATCTACTTACGACGAGCTGTCGATATTTGATAGAATGTCACTAGAATCCTTCTTGTCAGCCTTTTTTCCTTGCATTAACAATACAACAAAAGGGTGAATCACTTGGTGAACATCAGGAGACAGATTTTATACAGCCATAGAGTAGGAGTTTATCATAGATCATAATGGTAACTCAACATAGAAAAAGAACAATTGGGAACTAGATTAACCTACCATCAGATGAGCAGTCGGGAAGGTATTTTGCAAGTCGATATTTCTGGATGGATCGAAGAAAAATAAATTAGAGAACAAAATTTATGCATGCTAACATAATCCTCTCTCATGCAGTGTGAGAAACCCAAATAAAGTATGAATAAGAAGAAGAAAAAATCTTGATTTTGTACAACATTACAGTACCTGCAGATGGCTTTTGACGTGGTATATTGTTAAACCTTGAACACCCATTACTCTAAGAACACCTTTGGGTGTAGCACCTAACAAAGGGATGAAAAATGCACATAAATATGGTCAAATATCATTTGTAGGCACAGAAATTATAGATAATCTACGCAATCTGCAATTTTACTGCAGTTTATCATGTTTCACTCTTCCATTCTTTATACTATTTTTAAAAAATATGCTTCTACCTCCTTGATTGACTAACTGTGTGTGATTAATGGAACGTTTCTACTAGAAGGAAAATATCTATGTAGGAAACCACCCACTCAGTGTAAATTTGCATAATGATCAATGGTGTGATGGATACAATTCACTATATCTTTTTATCTTATGTTTTTTTTTTTAATTCTGCACTTAAGAGTTTCATTCTTTAATATGAATGGGAAAGGAAAAGTTGCACAACTTGTCAACAAAACGCTAACATGATTGAATTGTTTATGACATGTAAAAGATGCGACAGTTTCAATTATCAACATGAATATTTTCATCTTTAGAGTTCAGATAGGAAGAAGATGGTAAACCATAAAGCCACGAGAAACGAGTTTACTCACGATCTGGACCACCAAGTTGTGCCACTGCATTAACAAATCGGTTGTGAAGATCATGCGTCCATCGCAGTCTCTGCTTCGAGGCCAAATTCGGGTTGCTAATGGGACCATTACTTCCATTTGAGGGTTCCATCAAGCTTGCATCAGGAAGGTTTGTGCTGATCACAAACTAATGAGCTGTTTTGAAGAAAGCTTGAATTATGAGTACTTTGTTGCTGAAACTTGAAATATGTCGTTTACCTGTGAAGAATAAGCAACTAAGTCTAAAAGAAGAAAAGAAGAAAAAAAAGTTTCCTGCTCGACAAGGCCTTGGATCTCAATGAATTCAACATTCAAAGAAAAGTGAGACATGATGAAGATTCATGATTTTGCTAATATATAGAAAACTCTCTGCTAAGATCAATGACCAAGAACCTCAGAACTTTCCAAGTTTATTGGGTTTAATGAGTTCTAAAGATATTTGGACCATTTGCTCTCCATAAGGAGTACTCTTCCTGAACCAAACCCAATGGTAAAAACATTAAATGAAACATGGGCTTTCAGAAGAATTTATAGGGAAATCGACAATATATGAGCCACGGCCGAGCAAAGAGCATAGCATCAAGAGAGGTGGGCTCCCTCAGAACACTTATCTTCACCAAAGAAAATAAGCTGGAATCTGACAAGACCAATTAAAAAAACTTAATGATAATTATACATATGCTGCAGAAGTATATGCCTATTCGACAACGATTGGTTCCCACTTAAATTCAATTAATCAAATCAAAGTAATCTGGGAGAGAATTAAAGCCACCGAAATGGATACTTAAGCATCAGAACAAGTCTAATTCTTTTCGTTAGATGCTTTAGAAACAACAACAATCATAATGAAAACCAAATTGAGCTCACTAGTTATTACCTTCACAGGTAAGAAATCAATGTTTCAATCACTCAGAGAAAGAAAGAAAAAAAGCAAAAGAAATTACTATGCCCCTCCTCATCCATCTTCCAGAAGAAACCCTTCAAACGAGCTAAAAAGCTCCCACAAATGAAGAAAGAAGAACAATGGACTGTGACAGTTGCAGCTCAAGTTATAAACAATAAAGATTATTAAAAATCAGACCAGAAATGACAATCATTGACTAGGGTAGACAAGAACTAGAAGGCAATATCCGAAACCGAAGGCGTGAGAAGTGGGTAGGCTATGCATTTGAAAACTTGGCAATTGCAAAAGCAGAGCAACAGCTTAAATTGAAAGCTCACGTTAATGCAATATAAGAGTATACGTTTAAAAAGAGAGCGAGAGAGAGAGGATAAGAACATACCCAGATCTAAGAACACATCTCCCCATATTGAGCGCCATTTTTGTGGGTCTGTGAAGGCCTGGAGTTTCAAAATCAAGAAGAATCTTGGAGTAATAACGAAGGAAGTAAGATAAAAAAGAAATGGGTAAATTGGGTTTGTGTTAGTTAAATTGATGGAATCGATTCTTGGTTTCTGGGTCAGTGTGTTGTGTGCTTGTGGTTCCTCCAAAGTAGAAAAGAGTGAAAGGGGAAGGTGGTCTGTGAGCAGTCTTCTCTGGATCAGCCTTTGCCTGGTTTATAGGAAAGCTTTTCAAATAAATAAAAAACTGAAGGAAAGTGCTACCAATTGAAATGGCTGAGGCTCAATCTTTTCTCCATCACTCACCTTTCGCCATTTCATACTCTCCAAAGTTCCAAACTTTCTTTTTCCTTTTTGAATATATATAAATATCAACATCTCCCTAATTTAATTAGAAATGGTAATGGCCTGAAATCCCATTTTACTGTTCTACTTAAAAGGGAAAAAAAAATCTCATTTTTAGTTCAATCAATATGGAGTTAGATATCGGGAATGTAATAGGTCTCGTATTCGCTAAACTATGTTTTGGTTGTTTTTTTTAATGGTTAGATATAGTTTTTAGTTCTAAAATTTATTTCTTACAAACACGTCACTCTTATATTATATCTACAGGTTTTTGAACTCGTAAAAATGATCAAATAAATTTTTTCTCTCACAGAGGATAAAAAAGAAAATGAGTTTAGGAGGGAGATTTGTAAACAAGAGCTTTTCTTTCTTTTTTTTTTTTAAAGAGATTTTTATCAAGGTTAAAGCTTCAAATGTGTAAATGGCTACAAATGGTGAGGAAAAAGGTTAGAAACATGTATACTAGAAGCAATTTATTTTTCCAAAAAAAAAAAAGAAAGGCAATTTGGGTATTTACATTAGATCATTAGATCAAATGGTGGAAAAAAAAATTGGTCTATAAATTGAGAATGAGAGATATAGATGAAAGGAATCCAAAATGCATTTGAATTATGCCCCAAACGACAGCATGTCTCAAGTTCGAATTTTCGATAACTTTAATATAAATAAATTTTTGATGTCTTTTAGGCACGTGCCTTGGAATTGGTGTGGGTGCGCACATTTGGAGGAGTAAAGTTTCAACTCCCAATTATTAAAAAAAAGAAATGCATTTGAATTGCTATAATTATTTTTTAGTTCAAGCGAGGATTTGAACATCTAACCTATTAATTAAGAATATATATCTTACTCATTAATTAAGAATATATATCTTACTCAGTCGAATTATTTTTTGAGTTAGAATGAAAACTTTGATACTTAAAAAATCATTAAAAAAACGTTTATTTTTCATTGATCAAAATATTTTATATGACTTGAAAAAATAAAACTAACCATTAAAAGTATCTTCCAACTAACTTATATAATTATTCTTTATTTCTAATTATAAATAAACAATTTAACAAACTTCGACTAAAAAAATCAAAATTAAAATGGACATTCTAAAAATATTGATTAGATGAACTAAATTTGGAAGGGTAAAAACTTCTACCATTACACTTAAAATAGATTTGATTCAAATTATTCAATTATATTTTTTTAAAAATTAAGATTTGTATTATAGTAAGTTACACATTATTTATACCATTTATGTAATTATCTCGAAATTCAAAACAGAATACAAGAAACATAATAATTAATTTTGATACAAGATGAAACGGAATCTGTTCTGAAATATTCTGTGCCTTTGGGAACAAAATGGCGACCAAAAAAAAAAAAAAAGAAAACAAAAGCCCATTTCTATTCACTTTGTCTTTTTCCTTTCATTTTTTTATCTCTATTTTTTTTTTCAAATTTTATTAAAAAATCTAAGCATTTTACAGTCACTTACGTTTCTTGTTTATCATTTTTTGAAAATATTATTATTAAAATGGTATGCACATTTTGAAAACAATCCAAATAAGTTTTTTATTTCACGTTTCTGTTTCCAATTTGTTGTAAAATATAAATATAAACATTGTTTGATCATCCTTATATTCATGGATGTTGGAACTATGCAATTCTATTTTTATTTATTGAAAACAAAAAAACAGAACCGGACATCTTTGCAATTTATAAATTTATTTACATTTCAAAATTTTGGCATTTCAATATCTAGAGCAACCCAAAAGTTCAAATATTAAGGAGTAAATATGTTTACCTTTTTTCTTTTTTTCTTTTTTTAGTTATAGTGTAGACTGGATTTAATGGGTTTTTTTTCTCAATACATTGAAATATGATTGTTTCTTATTATGGATATATCATTTATTGGCTTGAGTTCAACTTGAATATATTTTCTATATAGTTCTTATTTGGAATTTAATATAGTAAATAATTTTTTTTTACCTCCCGACTAATCCATATAACGCTGATTTGACTGTATTTAGTTGTCAATAGGATATAAAATCTTAAGCAGGCACTCTCGAACCTCTTTTCAAGACGGTAAAAAAAAAAAAAAAGTTTTCTTGTACTTGTGATTTTCTGCTGTTTTACCTTTAGTTGAGAATATTGAAAGGGCAAGTTCATTCCAACACCCAATTATTTTGTTTGTGGTCTGAGTCAAAAGATATTGGGATTGGGACTTTTCCTCAGCTTTTGGAGGACAGCTACACCTATCAAAAATACAAAATTTTATACAAATAAATAACAAATAATTGTATGAATGTCTCTTAAAGAGGTGATTTACTTGAAATTTTATTTAAATATAAATCATCCCTTTTAGGAGACATTTTTCATTTTTTTTTGGTTAAATATATGCTGTATATATGAACTGTGTAGTACTGACAAACAGATTACAACGTAACTGACTACAAATGATATAAATTTGAACAACTTGATGAACACCAAAACTTGATAAAATAGTCGAGACACGCTTCAAGAGCGCTGACTTAAAGAGGAGGAGAATACTCAAGTGAGGTATGCTAGTAACTTTAACAAAATAATAAAATAACTTAAAATTTAATAAACTAAATAAACAAAACCACTATGACAATAAATATGAATAATATTCACAATGAATAATTTCTTTTAAGTTTCACTTTCTTTCCCACCTTGAAAAACACACTTTTTTTCCCCCTAAAACCAAGATTTGCATTCATTGTGAAGAATAGTCAAGGGTTCCCATCATATTCAACCATGATCATAGCATGGAACATGTTTTTTTTTTCCACCCCATTGATAATTATGATTTACTATGAGAATCGATTATGATACCTGTGAAACATAAATGGCACAAGATTCATTCATTTTGGCATCATCAATGGAAGACAAAGTTCATTTCACTACTGATTAGAGAAAGAGGATGTGTTTCCAGACACAACATTACTGATTACACCCTGTTAATGGACTCCTCAGATCTCCCAAAAGTCAGACAGAAATTAACTAGACTGTGATTGTCCAGAACAACAAAAAGAATTCCTAACTACTTGCATTTCGACGAGTTGTCTACGAACTAAACTAAACCGACTTCTCGATTTTACATGCTAGTGAATGTTCTTGCTTCAGTTCATACCAGTTTCTATGAATGAAAATGATGGAATTTTTACAAAAGTTGAAACTAGAACATACTTCTCTTCTCATCAAACATGATGAGTTTTTTGTCTGCAGAGTTTCATCCCCACATGTCGCACCCGGATGCACTGTGATGGTTAATTTGGATGATATTAGCATCTTGTATTCTGTCCTTGGCTTCACTCCAAATCAAAGATGCAGTTACTGAATCCAAGTTAACCATTTTTTTCTGGCTTCCAACGGGAGATTTTTCCATGGTCAATCCCCCGGGACTCTCGTTTGAGGTTAGGCAGCTCTCAGTCGAACAATCAGCTCTTTGGTAAGGAAGATTAGCCTGCACTTCTTCTGTGCCATTCATTCTTTCCATCTCTTGTGATTGTGAAGCATAGAAACCAAGTGGGTCGACGGAGGAACTTCTTGGGCTCTTACGATCCAGTCCTTGGGACTTCTTGCTGTCTGAGTCCGACACTGCACCTCCAATAAATTGATCTGCAAGCATTTTACAAGCTCTCTCGAGCATGGCCAAATATCTTCGCTCGGCATCCTGACGAATTCGTAGGTGCTTCTCTGCCTGCCCAACGATGGTAAGGTCAGCTAGCTGAAGAATGGACCCAAGCCTCATTGTCAACAGTTGGAAGTTCCTCAAACAGTGAGTACAAAAATTTCCACCGCTAGTCATAGCAGTGCATCATAAATTCTAATTATGCTTCAAGATGAGGATAATACACTAAGCAAGCAATCTAAAAACCGGAAACTAATACGCTTCTCCATTCAAACCAAGTGTTGATCTACATGGAATCTGTTCAAAACCATCGTCAATTTCCATGTCCAAGGATGAGAATATTACCTCAACTTGCAGATGTAACTTACTTTGCACTTCCATCTGCGCTCTCAATGCCTCCTTGACTTCATAACCCCTAAAACAGACATCCAAGTTTTGAACAGTTTGAACATGCTTAAAATCTTATAACTCAACATTCAAGCATTATTGTAAGTATCTTAAAGGAGAGAAAAACTCTTATCTTACTCGGCCATTTCAGAAATTGGCAAGTCAGGAGAGAAATTATTGGTACTGGGACTTTCTAAAAGATATGCACCTGATGTTCATTGCACCAAGCGATAAATAAAGATTTAAATATTTGGACCAGACAGGTTAAAACTTTCAGAAATTAGGAGCTAGCACAAGTACTGGTGGTGAGAGGAGAGCAAGCTGTTTTCGTTAAGAACTCCATGACCCAACACAAATTATGTAGTTGAATATCAGCAGACTCATGGAGGCTACATCACATGATAAACAAGGACAAAAATAGAGATGTATCACTTACCATCTTTAGATCCCTCACCCATATCCTTCCCTGATTGCTTACCTAATCTGAATTTCTGTAATTAAAAAACAAGCACAAATAAATGCAAATTCACCATGAACTCCACCCCAACCATCAGAATTATTTCTAAAATGATGTCTTTCTAAAGTCATCGTGATCACCTGGAGGTGGCTCTTCAAATGGAAGAGAGTCAGTCCTTTCACATTCATCGTTCGCATTATTGCTTTTGGTGTAGCTTCTGCACCAGGTGTTCAAATGTCAAACCCTTATCATTGGTTAGAACTCAAACATGACCCATAATCCACCTCACCCCTGTCCCCACCAAAAAATATAAAGAAAGAAAAGATAGTAATAACACCTATCAATCAAAGCATGCAAAGCAGATCCTCTATGCTGCAAAAAAAAGTGGACTTAATGATCACAATCCAAGTTTTGGTTTTTGTAAAGCTAGAGTCATACGGTCACATGCATCAAGAGCTCTCCTGTGGTTGTTATAGAACAAAAGAAATAACAGGCTCTTCAAAGAAAAGCATATGCTTACTTTTGTGAGATTGTACAATTTAAAGCCTCAAATTGGAGTGGTTTACACAATTCCTTTTGTAATTATTCTGCTTTTATCATAAATGTAGGCTGGAAGTGTTTTGTTTAATTCCTTCTCCTACAAAGGGGACACCTTGTCTCCCTGACAGCACAGACAAAACTATGAAGATGAACCATTCTCAAAGGTTCACATTTGATTCTGATCAGATATCAACACGGTAAAACAATATTTACTGACTGACTAAATTAGACAATATTTACAAATTTTAAGCTATAGGTCAATTGACCTTAGTTTCATAATGTGAAATTTTCATGATTTCTGTATGGTTATATTGTACTTACAATTCAATGTTTTTCCTAGAGGAGTTGAAATGTTTAGGTATTAACTTCAGCACATCAATACATAAAGATGGAAATGTCGTTCCAATTATTCCATTTAACTATTTTCAATATTCTAGATGAAATCATGATAATATGTTTTCCTTTTACATTCTTTTGCACACCCTCAACTACCATAAACATTATTGTCATAACTAGTAGAGTTCAAATTTTTTCACCTCCAACTATCTTTGTGGGAAAAGGAGGGGAAAAAAACTACCTTCAAATTGATGGGATTTTTTTTGCTGAATGAGTGTGACAGAGTACTCAAATTATGGGGTAAAGGCTAACCCAATGTTCAAATTATGATAAAACTGGATAACTTCTATGATTAGGAAAATTGTACATTAAATCCTATAAATGATCGCTGCCAAGATATGGCCTTGGGGGCATCTGGATACATATAGCTCAGACCATTGAGCTAACTTGTGAAGGTTTTCAATTTACTAAAACCACAAACTAGCATAAATTGTTCAGAATCTACTTTGATGAACGTCCAAATCTTGATTGGTTTAGACCATGTCATGTCCATTAACTTTCCTACCAAGCAAATCATTCACATACAAGATTTGTCGTCTGAAAAGTCTAAATATAATTTGACTTCTAGAACCACAGATCCTGCAACAGATGCTCAAGGAAGATATCAAAGTTTTCTCTGTTGAAGTGTCTTTTTGAGCTAATAATCTGATTCCATGTCCAAACCAGTTCAACTAATTACATAAACTCTGAATTGTTCCCAAAAAACTTACTCTAATGAATTTCCCGCACCTAAAGATAGGTGATGCAATACCATCACAACTAAGAAGTATTTACTTTATACTTAACAATAAAGAGGATAATAATATTCATCAAATAAAAGAAAAGCTTCTAAAAAGAATTTTGGAAGAAAAGAAAATGAAATGACAACTAGTCGATGTTTTGTTTCAACAAAATTTTCTTTTTTAAATAAGAAAAAACAAAAGATTATAACACTAAGCCATAAAAAAGTCAAGCCAAAGTAACAAAGGGAGGCACATAAAAGTTACGAGGGCTCCAAGCATTGAGAATAAAAAAACAAAGTGACACCCCCATGATATTTGGAAGCTACGTAGACAAAAATTTGTCTTCCCGACTGCTGTGGTGTAGCCAACAAGATTGAATATCCACTATCTAAATCTACTCAATTTCTGAGCCAATTAGAAGCATAAACTTCCCAGACAATAACCATTTATGAATGTTCTTAAAAGCACTAAAGCACAAAGACCTCATTTAAACTTGGGACTCCAAATTCCTGGAATGAAGAAGTAGAAACTAACTGAGCTTCCATGATTGATTTAGAATCTGCCGAATTTAACTATTCAGGAAGAATTGAGCTTGGCCTCCCATATCTCTGAAGACCCATGTTTTTATTTCCTTTTGGGTTCATTTGCCATAAGCCATTTATTATTTATTTTATTTTATTATTTCTGTTTTTTACCAGGCCAAATACTCGATTATCTTAATTGATGAGAATTCTTCAACAGTATCACCAAATTAATGAAGCTCCTAAAATCAAACTTGCCCACTTACAATGAGAGCACAAGAGTGATAAGCGCTACTAAAATGTAGGCGTTCCAGTGCTTGACCCTCACTGAAACGAAATTAATTTCAACGCAGCACCCAGGTCTCCCAATTCAAGACTGCTTAACGTGAAAATCCTACTGTAGATAGTTCTAAAAAAGAGGCACTAACTACTAAGTAGTAAGCAGACCGTCGCCGCTATTTCTTAGTAAAATAGAGAAGCCTTAAACAAGCTAACTGAGTGAGCAGCTGCAAGTGAACAGAAGAAGACAACAACAGCAAACACATCGAGATTAATGAGACCACAGCTCAGCAAAAAATCAAGAAATGATATAGTACAGAAGAAAGAGTACTGACTGCTAGCACCACCGAGCTGAGTGACGGCGTCGACGAATCGCTCGTGAAGATCAGCCGTCCATCGGAGGCGAGGTTTGGGATCTGAAGTCAAAACAAGACATGGGTCGCCCCTGTGAGTGAGGTCGGAAGTAGCAGAACCACGGCCGCCATGGATCTGGATATCGCTGTCGGGATTAACAAGCCTTGGAAACATAACCTTCGTGTTTGCCGACGGAAAAAAAATGCTGAAAGTGAAAATCAATCAACAGAGAGAGGATAATTTTTTTGTCTCCGATTTATACATCCGAAAAAGAAGAACACGGAATTTCTTCGCTTATTGATTTAAAAAATTCATCACCCATTCCGCCATTTCTCAAGAGGGAGAGGAAATTGGCACAGCTTTCGAAGCTTTGTCTTTTTCTGTCATCATCGTCTTCGATGCAGCAATTAGTCGTCAAATTGGAGAATGTGGTAAACGACGACGATTCCTCCATGCCAGGGCAAAATGGGAATTCAGCAATAAATTTTGAAATATATCCTTTTAAAAAATAATAATTGATATTCGACGGAGCGGTGTTAAAAAAAACCAACTACCGAAGAATCGAACCCAACCCGAATCGTAAGAGTTGGGTTGGGTTAGAAAAGAAATTATGTTGTATATAAGTGATAGACCGAAAATTAAATAAGCATACTAAAAAAACATCAATAAAAAAAATAAAAGTTACTGATATATCATTTTTCATTCCATTATATAGTATATAGTGATACACGTCTATCAATAATATACAGGCGACGTTGAGATACGTTGACGGAGATTGTCGACTTTCCGTACATTTTTATTTGAGACAGCACGTGAAATATTTAAAAATTTTTAGAATTTGTGTTAGATTTAATATTATTTTAGATGAATTTGATATTCCTGATTAAAAAAATCAAATCAGCTCGGTCAAATCTCATTTTGGATTAATTTAAAAGGCCAGAGGGGCTTTTTTTTTTCTTTGAAATAAAGAAGCATTAGAAGAATAAGTTGAAGTTAAGAAGAGGGAGCAATATTATTTCTACTTAAGAGTAAAATTAAAACCTTTAATAAGAAAAACATTATAAACCTAAAGACCAAATGATACACTTAATGTTTTCTTTTTTGTAATTATTAGATGTAGAAACCCTCAAATATGTTATACAAATTATTGTTCATGTTTCATTAGAGTGAAATTCCCAATTTATCCTCTACCAATAATTTTGTCAGTGTTGAGGACATTGTCGAATGGTAGTTAAGTCTTTTTGTTCGCTTTTTGACTAAAGATTTTTTGTTTTTTGGGTAAAAGATTAATAACCAGTTACAATCATAATCATTTATTTCACTTATATTTGAACCGATTGCCAAATAATTTGTTGAACTTTTCTTACCCAAAACTCTCAACTTCCATCCCTTTCAAATTAAATAGACATTTTACCATTATGCCCACCACACAATTATCTTAGTAGAGGAAGACGAGGGTAGGGATGGCAATGGGGCAGGACCGGGGATGTAGTATTTCAGGTTTTAATACTAGTTTCATCCTTCTACTTTTAGCTTTTATTCCTTTCATCTCTGCATTTTCAAAATATTTATTTTGGTCTCTATATTATCAATATTTATTCATTTTAATAATTGTACCTTTGAAATATATATTTTGGCCTCTGACATGTTAAAATGTCATCAATTTGGGCTCTCTTTACAAAATTCTAACCTAAATTTTATACGCAATTGAAATCTTTTAATACAAATTTATGGTTATATTTCAAAAGCTTTGTGAGTGAAGTATTATGTTAAAATTATGATGGGAAAAAATGAGATAGAAATGAAAACAAATGGACTAGAATGGTCATTTTTTAAAAGTATAGAGACCAAAACGAACGTTTTGAAAATTCAGAGACTAAAATGAACAAAAAATTGAAATACTGAGACCAAAATAGACGATTTAAAAATATCGAGACTAAAATGAACCATGTGAAAACATCACGTGAGAGTGATGTTCATACTTTATAAATACTCATTTTGATTTTATAGTCTTTTTTTTCTTTTTTCTTTTTTACATATAATAACATCATGTGACATACGACAGTGGAGATTTGAACTCAGTCAGAGATATGTGACTTAACCAATTGAGCTAAATTTGTATTTTAATTTTTTTTAGTTAAACAAACTTTATAAAATTAAACAAAGTCTTAAATTGCCTATTTTTCAATATAATGTCAAATTCCATATACATGTTGAATAGTTTCTACTGCCTGCTCTCTTTAATAAACTAGTCTAGTAAAACTCAGCCACCAACCATATTGAATCATTGTGTTGCTCTAAATTAGCTACCTGTGTCTGTCCTTCTGTGTGTTCCATCTCTGGATTTAAAGCCGATATGAATGCAAATGCTTCGCCCATCTTCTAGCCATGAATGGGTCGTGATAATCCCATCTTTCGTCGCTGCTAATCCTCCCGCCTGAACTCACATCCTCTTCCCTGTCTTCACGACCAGCTTCGTCAAAAGTCATATTGATGTTGCTCTTGTTTCCTAAACTTAGCAGGGTTTCCCCTGTTTTTGTACACTCCCTGTCATTGACCGCGCCATCGACGTAGCTGTATCTTACCCTGACATGTCCTTCGCTGTCACTCAACTGGCTGTCGATTATGATTCTCTTCTCTTCGTCGCCCCTCAGCTCACCAATCCTAATGATGCTTGATCTGTTGCTTTCCTCCCCAATTCTAAGTTGGATATCTCTGATGATTCCTCTCAGCACTTTTGTCACCAGGAACTCTTCAAACTCCTGCATTACACAACCGGTTGAAGGGCTGAGCCCCATTCCTACATGAAACCAATGGATTGGGATGGCGGGTGATTCGAAGTCAATGAGATGGTACGGCTGAGTTCGGGTATCGGATAGATGTAGAATGGAGGAGTTGGGATTCTTGTGGGTGCTATCCTCAAGTATCTTGATTGCTTTCTTCAGCCCTTCAACAGCGTCTGCCTGCCCCATGTAGAAAAGACGGTCAATGACTTGTAATGCAGCTCTCTTTCCATAAGATGTCATACGTCTCAAGGAAAACACGCGGGTCGCTGCAGACGAGTAGGTAACGATGGCCAAACGGTCGATGGAACGGAGGGACGAAACCACCAAGGCCATGGCTTGCTTGAGGAGCCTCAAGTGCGGACCATTGGAGCACACAACCAAGACCAAGTCAGTCGCTCGTTGATGTGCCAATTTCACCGAAAGGTAAGCTCTAGCCCTGTTCCTGGGGTTGCCTGAAATACGAGGCGTTTGCAGAGAGGGTGATTGCAACAAGGAAGAAGGGCTTCTGCAGGAGAATTGTTGGTGCGGTGGTGGCTGCGCTTGGTGGTTGGAGTACAAGTAACCGGGGGCAGAGGCACAACCGCTCACCTGAATGGGAGGATAAAAGCTTGGTGGGGAAGAATGTAGAGAGAATGAGAGGCGAGAATGATGAGTAGGCGTATGGTCAGGCTCAACAGGGTCATCGTCGTCATAACGACCAGAGAGCAGGAAGGAACGTCGGTTTATCCGAAATGTGGCGATGGAGTCGTCGAGAATACGGAGAATAGGATCACTCTGGGAGGAAGGTGGGACTGAATTCCGGGGTAACTGGGTCCATTGAGCTCGACAAATGGGGCATGTGACACTGCCATGGCGGACATTGGAGGAGATGCAAGTGAAATGGAAGGCATGAGAGCACTGTGCGGTGAAGATGGCCTGCCCTGGCCGACTCCCTTCGGTTTTGTAGTTCAGAGGATCAAGGCATATGGCGCACAGATTCTGCCATGCAAATCAACACAAATATGCAGGTAACTGGTAAGATTATTGATACTGAAAAAGAAACAACTTTTGGCTCAACTTAGAGTTCAACTTTTCATAACTTTTATTCATTTATTAGTCACGCAAGTACATTTTATTGGATTTTATTAAATATATCTCCTTTTGATTTTTAAATAATAAAAGTACAACATGACAGAAAAAGCAAACTTAACAATAACCAGTGGCTTAAGAAAAAGTTGAACTCTCTCCATGAGTTCTTTTTTTAATCTAATTAATGAATTTCTATTTGCAGTAGTAATCGGACAGTGGCTTAAGAAAAAGCAAGAGAGGATTTGACTGCCTTTTTGCTCAATAATTTTTCAAAGAGTAAATGTGATATCTCACTCCAGTAATCAGATTCCACATCAAAAGCTTAAACAAAGATCATTCAACAATTAAGAAAAAACAACTCCTCCAATTAATAATGGCTCAAAAGATGTGCAGAGATTTTACTATAATCAAGAATGTTTCTTTATTTTTTCCTTTTACAACTATCAAGTTTGTATGACAATGTTGGGAGAAGCAATAAGAAATTGATTCCCATGTCAACTCGTGAACCCAACAGAGATGAAGGGTTCGCCTACAAGAAATCAACTCAGAAGTTCACACTTTGGTGGGAATTATGAGTTAAAAATGTGCATAATCCTGAAGGGAAGATTTGAAGTAGAAAGACTAATGCCTAATGGTGAAGAATAATATAATTGTAATTCTAAATAACAGAAAATCCTTTTGGAAACCAGGATCATGAAGCTAAATGGCTACAGGAATTGAAATTGAATTCTGCACTTAAACTCAAAAAGCTACAAAGTTTTCTTTTAATCAGATAAGGTTACAGATGAAGAGCTACTAAAACTTGGGAAATTGTTCAAATGGGGTCGTGGTTACCTTGGAAGGCAGATTGTTCGTGGTTCTTGAATGCGTTTGTTCTGCAATTTCAGCTTCTCCAACTTCTTCCATGGCGTGCTTTGGCTTTTCCACAGACACAGACAACAAATCCGAGACCTAACGAACAGAGTTCAAAAAGAGGAAAGCCAAATTAGAGTCACCACAGGACAAAATCAGGAGTGATCAGAAAGAAAAACGGTGAAAGACCGCCGAAATCATCGCTCAGTGTGACGCCGTAGTAATACAAATCCATACATTCAAATGTAATTGAAATTCCGTGAAAATAGAGGGGTTTTTCCCGCGAGTCGAGAAAGAAAACGAGGATTTCGGCCATTAGTTGAACCAATTGACAGAAAATGGAAGAAGACAACAATGTAAGAAACAGAAAACCGCGGGAGAAGCTTACAGAGCGAACTTTTCTCGGAGAAAAGGAGCGGCATGCGTATGCGGCAACCATAATCTTCCGAGCAGCTTTCTTCAGAATCGAGCCTCCTCCTCCGCCGCCGCCTCCGCCTCCTGCCATTGTGCAGAATCCCTCACCAATGCACCACCATCACAACCCCAACCGGAGTAGAAACTAGAAGAAGGATTCTGCAAAATCCGCAGAGAGGTTGTGAGCAACGGAAGTGGGAGAGTCCCCCACAGCTTTAAATTATTGAGTGGGAAATGAAAATGGAAATGGAATGGCGTTTGTTGGGTTTTAATTATTTGCCATTTTTTGAAAATTTGAAGTTTTGGGATTTTGTTCTGTTGCTTCAACTTTACTTTCCCTTTCATAAATCATCGAATTTTCTCGGTAAAAGGCTGGAGAATTGCTTGCTTTATTGCCGTATGTATGTATGCATTTTTGTTTTTGTTTTTCATTCTCCTTTATAATAAAATCACGATTCTCAAGATCTTAACTTTTTTGTTGTTGGCTGTTCAAAGTTGAAACTGTAGTTATATTATTATTAGCAAATGGGGTTCTGTTGCTTTGATGTAATTTTGAAACAGAAGACTGTTGAAGAAGATGGACTTTTTCTTTCTTGTTTCTTGTTGGGGATTTGTGTTTTGACGAACAGTAACATATATCAACCTTTTTTTTTTCTGTTGCAGGAAATGTATACCGTTTACAAAAACAATTTTTTATGCATATTTATTTATGGGTCAAAAAACAATTTTTTTGACGCTTGAAAATTCAGGAGGAAACTCCTCCTTAATTCACGTGTGGTCCAATACCATATAAACAAGTTGATTTTTTTATTTTGTGTAATTACTACGTGATCTACTTGTCTATATATTACTGGACCACATAGGAATTTAAGAGGAGTTTCCTCTGAATCTTCAAGAGGGAAGTTTTTTCCTTTTTTGACTTCACAACAAAATAAAACAAAACCGTGATAGATTAAACTGTATTGATTTCGGATCAAGTGAATAAAGCTTAAAATCATATGTCAAGTTGAATTGTCAAGTATCTCAACTTCAATCGGAGTATTAGTATTAAGTATCTCATCAAAATTAAATGTCTTATTATGTGACTAGATGGTAATATTTTTTTTAGTACAACGTGGAGGTCGGAGATCGAACTTACAATCTCTTGATTTGAGATACATATCGAATTATGTTTGCTTTAGTTTAAGTAACTTAAAGTTTAGAGATTAGATTGTTATAAATTTGAAAGTACAAGAACTAAATCTTTATAAACTAAAATTTAAAAGATTAAATTGTACTTGCAACAAATTATTCTTACAATAAAATTATTTATTTGTGTTTTTATTTATAAGAATTCGGTCATCGAAAAAGTTTGACTCTAACTCGAAAAAAGAAAAAGACGACATCACATGAAAGTGAAGGATTGAACTCACAACCTCATGTTGGCTTTATAATGAGATTAAACCGCTACATTTTTACCAGTAAATAATTTTCATCTCGAGCACTTTAAACACTTGTTTGATTAATCTCAAACACAATGTGTATAGTTTACTAATTAATTTCATCAACCAATATAACAAACTGACCCACAAGATAGTAAAAATTGAAATGAAATCAACTTGGATTTGATGAAACCCAAAGAAATCCGTTGAGGATTTGAAAATTCAAAGTGTTGAAAGGACAAAAAATAGAAAAGGGAGTTGTAATGATTGATTTGGCATTGATCCAGCTCCCCATTGGTGAGTGCATTGCATGATGGAGGGAATTAGCACATCCATCAAAATTCAAAAGGAAGAAGCCAATTTTTTCTTTTTTTTTTACTTTTCTTTAATATTCGTGAGTGTCTAGGTCAATTAATTTAATGGGATAGTCATCTGACTATTATATTTGGTTATCAAGGAAATATATAGAAAAATAATTCCTAAATAGATGGTCATCTTCAGATTTGAATTCATTCCTCTAAATTCTTTTGATTTATCAGTCCTTTTGGACCAATGAACCACTCATGATGGTTGAAGTAGAACCGAATTCAAGACGGTCAAAAACCAAACCCCAAATACTTTTATTTTCCCTTCTGTCCGTTGCCTTCCTTTTGGCACTTTTTGACACGCCTCCATCTCTTTTGACATTTTGTGTCTTTCCCTCTATTGCTTGATGTGAGTTTTATCATCCCCAATGTTCATTCCCTCTTACCATAACCAAACACATGGGTTTCTTAAATCCCTCCTACTTCGTTTTTCATGTGGATTTGAATACCAAAGCATTGACATGTGAAAGGACGAAATAGTACGGATATGATTGCACTTAATGTCGAGGATGCAAATGTTGTCTACATTCGTTGGAGATATTGGATGAAAAAGTGAAAGATAACATCTATTAACATGAGATCTTTTGGGTGAATACCACCAAAAGTAAAATTACGTGGGCTTAAACTCAAGCAATATTGTATCATTGTGGAAATATGAAGTCCAACAATCAAAACCCCATTCTCATTACTTCATTTTACCTGTAGATTTGAATACCAGAGGACGAAATAATAAGGATATGATTGAATTTAATGTTGGGGATGCAAATACTCTCTACATTCATTGGAGATCTTGGATGTATAAGAAAAGATAGCGATCTCTGTTAATATAAGACCTTTTGAGTGGATACCACCAAAATAAAATTACGTGGACTTAAACTCAAAGTGGACAATATTGTACCGCTGTGGAAATTAGAGAGACACGTTGTCTTAACAATCAAGATCTCATTCTTATTACTTCATTTAATATTACTTCGATCCATGAGTACATCCCAACATGTGAATAGAAATAATATATATACAAGATTAAACTTAGTGTTGGGGATACAACATTCGTCAGAAGTAATAACAGAAATCATTGATATATGAGAAGAAGGGCCCAGCAGACAAAGGTTACTGGTGTCCCAAATGCCCTGCTGGCTGAAAACGAAATATGGTGCTGAAAAATAGTTGATTGCTTGAATCATATGCATAGCAATAAAAAAAAAAGTTAAGGATATCTAAGATTTAGGGACTCATTAGAAGAAATATTAAAAGTTTAGAAACTCATTAAGCATTCTTTGGATTTCAACGGCAACATAACTCTAAATGTTCATATGCCAAATTTGAAATTTAATCCAAAAGAAAAAAAGGAAAAGGGGTGATTCGTTTGACCAGATTCAAAAGGTATCATAGATTGGGTTTGGAACATCGAGATAGTTTGTTTTGGTTTGGTTTGGGCTAGGCTACTGAAACAAACAACCTAATTTGGCGTGTCTTTTTTTGAGTGCCCTTTTTGATGTAGGATGACTGTCTCTGTTTGGTAACAAAGTGAGCCTAAGGCAGACGCATCAGCTATCTCATCCTTTGGAGCAAGCATGTGTACTGAAATATATATATGTTCTGTCAGAAGAAAAATAATATGCAATATGCATGGTATTTAACCCAATTCCAGCCAGATTCATAAACCCCTTTCATTTCCTTTCACTCTCCTTAGCTGTTGATAACCTACGGCTGTAGCTTATAATCTTGCTTTGTAGCCTTAACAGTATGTGAATAACACCTTGTGTTTGTAACTTTGTACTGTTATGTGAGTAAAGTTTTGAAGTTTTAGCTTCTATCAAATTAAACGTTAAACACAAATTAAGCTTACAGAAAGTAATCAATCAATGACCCAAAACTAAACAAACACTCTAAATCTAGCTTCAGAGATGCCCAAGACCCAACTACAAGAACACTTAAAAGAAAGTTAGAGTGGGAAATATTCACAGTGTCAGGATACCTAAATCTAATCAAAACAAACAGTCGATACATGTACAAAAAAAATCACCATTCATAGAACTAGCATCTTCTAATCATAATAATGTTCGAATTTAGCTACGAATCTTTAAAAAGAAATCAAATCATCTCAAAGAAAGTTAGAGTGGGAATTCTGGGTCATTTTTAAGCCAAATATTCACAGGGAAACTGTAAAAAATAATCAGTTGATAATGATATATTCGATAGTGATAGGCAAGAATGGAGCAAGATCTTCAACGACCATCTAGACCCAAACTTGGAGTATTGCATTTGGCAATTATGGGATATGATTGGTCTTATCTGATCTGATCTGAGCTCCAGATGCAATCATTAATCATATGGAGGGCAAATCTGCTGAGATAATAATCATTTGATCCTCATGGTTCCACACAAAAAGGTTCAAATCTTAATGCAATTTTCCCTTGCCTTACCTCTAACTCGACTGTAACTCCAAATAAATATAAAAGTCAACCAAATCTGTTGAGGTGGGTTGTTCTTGTTTTTATGTAAATTCTAAAATTGAATTAAGAAAAAACTTCAAACTCATTCAATCATGGTTGATTTGATTAGTTTTAAATTGGTTCATTATGTTTTGGTCGATTTCAATCAATTAACGCATTTGATTCGATTCGATTTTCTAACAAAGATGGTCCTTTGGTCAAATTTTTTATTATTTTTCTTTTCAAATCAACATATCGATTTGATATTGATTTAACTAATAATTAAGCTAAATAAACCCACTAACATTACATCTCTATGATCTCTCCTAGTCTCCTTTTAATTTGAAGTCCTTCCCTATGATAGGTTGAGGAGGGTAAAAAGCATTCATAGTTTTATCATAGACTTCTTCAACTCCAAGAAAGATCCTAATCATGCACATTTTGAAAAATAATTCAGTAATCATTTTAATTAATATAAAACTAATCTCAAAATTAAATAATAATAAAATATCCTAACCTCATCCACTTCTATCTCTTTCTTTCTTGTCTTTCTTCTCCTTTCCTTCTCATCCCTCCCCTCTCACTTCCAAAAGGGATGGGATTAGATTCTCTCTCCATTCTTATTTCCCTTGACACCTGACCCAAGGATTGGCAAGAAAGAATAGATGCTCGAGTAGAAAAGATAACTTGAGACCCAGGTTAAGGAAAAAAATAATAATAAAAAAATCTTGATTTCTAAAAATAATATAAGGTTATTGTACGAGTGGGGGTTTAAGGCCATCCAAATTCAAATGGGGACTTCCTTTCTTCTCGCATAATGGAATATGTACACGGCACAGAGACCAATTAAAGTAAATTAACTACAAATCTACACAAAAAGATGAGATCAACTTCTGACGGAGGATTAAATGTACACCAACATATAAATACAATAATACCTCTTTTTAGTCTTAAGCCATGTCTTTTACCTATCCAACCCATCTGTTTCAAAGAAGCTGCATAGAAGAAGAGGGTTAGGTATGTAGGCCGACCTCTGCTGGGGCCTGATGCAAGCGACTATCAAATAATAGTTTAATCCCAAATCTAGATATCAAGCAGAAATAAAAATATTGAGTCATGTACAAGAATTCTAGCCACTCACTTTGAATCACAGATCGGCGCCATTTTTCAACAGGGCCCTACAGAGAGGCGTTGTATTCAATCAATCAAATTGGACTAAGAAGGCAAAAAGACAACCGAACCAGGCGTGATTGGAGGAATAAACAATAAAGTGCCATAATACCACAGCCAGAACTCACCTTGCTTTTTGCTCAATTCACCAACCCTCAACCCCCACCACCGCACCGCCCTTCTCATTATGCAACCAACTCCTAAGCACTCGTCCAAATTTAAATCCTGTATGATTCCTCCCTCCTATAATCCTACCAGATACCAGTCTAAGGCAATTAACAAGCATACCTTTATCAAGTTTTGTTAGTTGATGCTGTTTAGAAGCAGAATTAATCCCAATCGACTAATTTTGATTCCAAAACAAAAAAAGGAACTCCATCTACAAGCTACTAGAGCATATAAAATCTGAGACAGCTGTCGTGAAAGCTTCCATCACATGAATGTGGGAAATCTAGAAGGAAAGAAACCGAATGATCTTCAGTAATACTGAAAGGAATTTAATTTTTGTCTGGCTATGGTTATCTTTGTGACCTCCACAAATGGGGTACCCTCACTAATTCTACTTTACATATAGGCCGTTTGGCCTGTTTTGGTATTATTAATCTTTTCATTATACTAAATGAGAAGTTTCAGTCAGTACTAAATAAATAAATGAGAGAGAGAGAGAGAGAGAGAGAGAGAGAGAGAGAGAGAGAGAGAGAGATGCCATAAACAGATAGCAATAGCCATCTTTTTCAATTGTTCAACTTGCAACTACAAATATTTAAGAAAAAAATATGGTTAAGAAATTTTGTACAGCGACAGAATAGGGAGACCCACATATGATTTACATCTAAGGTGGGGGAATTTAGAATGGATAGCATCGGTTAAGTTCTACTTTACATAACCAATGAACAAATTAGGGAGACTGATAAAAAATTAAATTAGAGAACCAAAAACTACCGAGATCCAGACCTGGAAAACTATTGTGGATGTTAAAATTATGGAGAAAACTTCGAATCCGAGTTCACAACAAGGACCATTCATGGATTAATGTTGCATTCTCTTAAATAAACATTGTCAAAATCAACATGCTTCGCCCAATAGTTTCGATACTTGGGTATGCCTATCTCAAGCCATGGCTTCATGTTCCCATTATAGTGTATTACAGCAGCTTGCTCAATTTCCTTCTGCCCAATATTAGGATTGTAACCGAGGCCTAACACATGCCAGGATTTATTGATCTGATAAGTGCGCTTCCAAAATGTTATGAGACCCGGTGGTAATGTTCCAAGCTTCCACAATTGCCTGTCATAATTCTGAAAAAAAAAAAACCAACAGCCGGATGGAGGGGTTAAAATGTTGCTCAAATAATAATCGCCAGTAGAATAAACATTATGCATGACCATATGTTAAGTAGAAGTAACCTAGGTAAAACTACTTCCAAAGAGCAATTATCTACTAGTTGCACAATAAATAATACTTCCTAACACTCAATAGATGAGTGTCACCGTCCATCTTCACAAAGATTCATTGATGCCACAAATTTATTATGTCGCATCCAATTGCATTTGTTTATGACGAATACCATTTTTTTTTTCTGTTCTGTAAGGTCTATAAAATCATGGCAAAAAGAACACTGTCAGCTAGCAATTTTCCCCGCCACTCTTATCTCTTTATAATAAAAAAATAAAGCACATATAGATTAACTATTAAAACAGAAGAACATGTTTCTGTTTGAAGTTTTCTTCTAGACGTATTTTCAATGTTGAAAATATTTGCTTGCAACCAGTAATTGAAGGTTTCATGTGATATGACAAGTAGAATAGATATCGGTTCATATGAGAGAGCTTACCAGCTTCTGCCAGGAGTGGTACACCTCTGTTATATTCTGCCTCTTCCATTCATCCAAATCAAAGATATTCATGCCATATGCCCAACCACAGGCACGAGGATCAAAATTTTTTGAGATGAGAGGGTTTGAGAAATTGAGATATCTATCAAACCGATGAAAGCTTTCTCCACAAGTCTCTACAGCACCATTAACATTTCCCTTCAAATTAATGAACCAGAGTCTGGAGAGATCTTTCTGTACTACTATATCATCATCGAGGAACAGAACTTTTTTTAGCTTCGGGAATAACTGTGGGAGGTAAAAACGGAGATGGTTCAAGATGGACAAGTATTTTGGATTCCGGAATTTCATATTTGAATCAGAGCTACCCCGATGAGCCCTAAAGTAATAATCTATCATAGAAGAAGAACCCAACTGCTTAAGAACTGGACTGTAACTGGCGTTTAACCATGTAAATTCTTCAATATTCTGAACCTGGATGGTAGCTTTGCCGGGTTGATTAGCTAAAAACCACATCCTCATTGCTGCATAATTGAGTCTATCTGTAATAATGTGAAAAACATGTTTTGAAGGCTCCTGAAAATATCCAAAACATGAAATAAGTCATGATCTCAAACAAAAGGAAAGATCCATAGTTGTATAAACTTAAACAATGACAAGAAATAAAATTCTTTCTACCTATCCCAACCAATTTACATGCCAAGGAGAAATCGACGTATAAAATCTGAACAGACATCATAAGTCCTCAAAATATTTTTTGGTATCATAAATATTGAAGTGTTAGGCATATATACCTTTGCATGAGTAACTGTCGAGTTAACAACTACTGCTGCTGCCAATACATTATCTGAGAATAATGCATAATGATACAAGTCCGGATCTTCTAACTTTTCTTCACCAGGGAAATGCTGTTGGGACCAATTCAGAGAATAGTATTCAGTTGTCAGGCGCAAGGGAAGGCAATGAAGGCCTTTAGGAAGTGTTTTTGCTGTTAATTGCGTCAAAAACAGGGTTTGCTTCTTGTGCACCCGCAACTGCTCTTCAGTTGAGTGAAGCATCGCTCGTAGTTTCTTAACCACAGTAGAACAGTCATCTTGAGACTGTCTCCCTTTTGCCAAAGTTTGCTCCATTGTCTTCAATCTCTCATTGGCACTGCAGCATTAACAGCATAAATCACAAAGACCCTCACAAGAATGTCCCATCCCAATACAACTGATAATATATTGAAACAATAACTCATTCAGATGTAATATTAACATGGTTGTCATCAGACATAAATCTTACTTTTTAGGCAGCTCAGAATCCTTGGTTGCATCCCCCAACGTTCGTTGAATTTCTTTTATCCTCAGTCGAAGTTCTCTTGTAAGATGGGGATTGTTCCTGGTGCCTGGAAGCGAGAGGTAAACTTTAGCTCTTATAAGCTGATCCTTAAGATGTCTTACACGTGCATTAGGAAGAGCAGCTTGATCATTCTCTTGTTCGAATCTAGACTTTACTAGTTCTTTCTCATCAGCTTTGTCAGAAGTCTGAGGGGCTGGCTGCTCGTGCTTTGGATTCTGGTGGTTGATATGGCAATACAAACACAAGGATAAGAGAAAGTAGAGTTAAAATAAGTAATTCTGTGAATAAGAAAGTTCATTCACAATATATAGCGGTTTCATAATCTGGACAATTCATTTTACATCAGAATTAAGAAACGTTTTGAATAAATCAAAAAATTAATCAATTATCCCTGGCAGCAAGATGAGCTGACTCCAACGACTTCCCTCCAAGGCTCTACTTCGGGGGGGAATTTTAGAGATAGAACCATTTAGTTAAGAAACAGTAGAGAAACTATATAAATGACTTCTTTGGTTTGCATTAGAGCCAGAGAAATGCATTGCAAATTTGCTATCGAGCGCAGAGATAAACTTCTCAAGAGAGTGGTCATAACAGCTCACGATAAGAACAAAAATTATGCTGAATAATAAGTTTAGCAGAGCTAACCATGCAAAAATCCTGAAAGAGCCATCAAAGGCTTCTATGGATCATGCAAATGCAAATATGTTGATGAAAACGGGACAACTAAAAAGTAAATCTAGAAGAGTCAAAAAAAAAGAAAAAAATCATACAGGATCCATTTTGCCGTTCTTTTCACTGGTACTATTGGGCTTCCATGAAATGAGATTTGCCTCCCCAATTTGGTCCGTAACCTGCCTGATGGCATTCTCGCTTTGAGAACGACCTTCCTCATCAGTCGTGGACAATACTCGAGAAGATTTACGCTCTATTACTTCTAGAGATCGTGAATCTGAAGAAACAAAATTAACAAATCTCAAGGTAAAGTAATATATTAAACAAGAAAGCAAAGTCATAAACATAAATATTTATAAAGCACTTCCTCGGCCAAACCTTGGATGCGGCCGTTGCTCTGCAAGACCGAAGCAACGGACTCTGGAAGCGAGTTGTTGTCGGAGTAAATGGTCGCGACGGGCTCTTTTACGGTTGATGAGGATTCCTACAACCAAAGAAGAAAGATCAGAACAAGTATTTTGGAAAACGAAAGGCGAATCGGAAAATAGAATAAAAAAGCACGGGAAATCGATAAAACAATTACCCCATCGACAAGATTTAGACGCCCAGAATTGCTAGTGAAACCCTGGTTTGAATAAGGCAAGGGAAGAAAAATAAGAAGAAGAAAATGAGAGAGAATAGTCAAAAGATCGAGCCGCCAACGCGTTCTGCCAATTATGGCAATCGCAAAGAACTAGATTAAGCATACATAGTGACGCTGAACAAAATTTACTTACAGAAGTTGCAAAACCTTCAATAATTTCGCCTTTAGCTGCAGAAAATAAAAACCCTATTTTAAAATTTCAGAGGTAGCAGTAAATAAGAAAAGCAAAGAACCCGATTCCAGGACTAAGTTGGCGAGTTCAGATAGACGAAGAAGAGGGAAAACTAACAGGATAACTTGAAGGTGGCGAGGCGATCAGTGTAAATCACAATCGGAGCAATAACCGTCGCAAAAAGCATCAACAACACCAGATTTCTGACCAGCATTTTCAATTCAAAACACGAAAAACCTTACAATCACGGAGTACCTAGTCCTCCTCACTCTCCCCTCCGCCTCAAGCGCTGGGCCGAGGAAACGCCACGCGTCGTCGCCCGCAAAAACTTCGTCGGAATCTCAGAGAAATGAAAAGGAACCAATTACGGCAACAGTTCCTCAAAAGATCAAATGCCTTTTCGTTGGGGCCATACCTTCTTCTCTCTGTGGGTGTGCGTTTACAGCACTGTGCTGCCGCGGGGAGCTTTGTATGAGAAAAAAAAGTAGCAGAAGACGAGAGGAAGAAGAAGAAGTTGATGGATGAGCAATTAGCGTCGGCCTTGGCGCAATGGAACTGACGATTTTGAGGAACAGAGTCACAACTAAGAATCGACAATGTCACACGTGAAGGAAAGAGAAAATTACGGACGCCGAAAGCCAATTACATAATTTTAGACTTATATTTGTTTTGGTTGGTTTTTTTTTTTTAATGTTTGTTTTGGTTGTTAACTTTTTTTTTATTCTTATCTTTTGGCATTATTGGTTAATAATACTTACCCTTATGGTTGAGTATTCTTATCTTATTTTTCTTTTTTAAGGGAGATAAATTTCAGTTAATATCTTGGTTTGATCATATATATATATCATAATTTTTGGATCGATATATTTAGTAAAATAAGTAAAATAGCAACCACATCTAATTTTTTTAAATGTAGTATTTAAAAAAAAACAGAGGTCCAATTTTAAAATTACAAATTTACCTTGTAATATATATGATATACATCTGTAATATATCTAATTAGTGATATATGTCTCGGATATAATAATGATATACAATTGATTTACTTCTTATATAACTATGATATCTTATGAACTTCTAACATGACTTATCATTGATACACATATGATAACCATTGATTTATCAGACTGATACAGCATTTATATTTCTGTGATATACACTTGATATGTCTCTCATTTACCATTGATATATAGACGATATACCACTTATATAAATGTGATATCTACTGATATAACTTCTTATATATGATTATATGATTTACCACTAATATAACACTGATATATACTTAATATGCTTATAATTTATTATTAACATACCTCTAATATAACCCTAATATCTATTAATATAACTATAACACTAATTAGACTAATAAATAATGATTTAGCAAAAATGACTATACTAGTTTAAAAGATATTATCTTCACTCATACCATTTGATTTTTTTTTTCACCTACTCTTATTTTATTTTGTTGGATCTTCTTCGTATTACTTCATGTTAAATTATCTTTTTTTGTTATTACGATGTTAAAGTTATCATTTGTTTAGTTCAATTAGTCTAAGTATATTAACATAAAAAATTATTATAATCAAATTTTAAAGTTGAGAGATAGGATTGAAATTTCAAGAAACAAATTGGTATAACTATCAAAATGTATTTATTTTATTTTGGTTGTTAAATTTTTAAATATCTTTAAAAAATTTATAAATATTATTTTAATTATTTAACTTTTTTTATTTTTGCAAAGTAAGGAGAAGATTTGATATATACATGTTTTTTTATTCATTAAATTCTTAGATAAATAAATAGTTAAGTTGCCTGTCAAACAACTGATTGAAATTTTGACAAACAATCGTTATAAAATTAAATTTACAATTCAGGAGTTAAAATAAAATATAGGAAACTTGAAAGATTAAAATATAACATTTAGAGTCGGATAGTAAAATAAAATATAAAAGTTTAGATTAAAAATATGAAATTAAACCATACTATTCTTATGTATGTTTTTTTATATAACGAAATAATATCTTGTTGGTTAAAATATTTTATTTATTTTTGCAGGACACACAGTCAATAAAGAATTAGTAAAATAATATTGAACTAGAAAAAAGTACAATAATTTTACATAATTTTAAAATATTAGTTCTCAAATATATATTAAAATATTGCCGAGACAGGCTCAATCTCACATGTTACTTGCATTGCAATGTGCCAACCTACCAGCTCATTTACAAAAGCAAGAAAATTAAAATGTGAAATTCCATTATTTATATACATTCTAGAATAAATATATATATTTTGTTCCCTTGACATTTTTTAATTTAGTCTATATTGTTTAAAAAGTGTCAGTTTAGTAATTTGTGTATTCTGATATTTTTTAATTTAATCACTCGATGTTAAAATTAGTTAATGATAAGCTTACATGATATAATAGTTAGTGTATTGATAAAAATTTAGAGGAAGAAAAAAGGTCATCTAATAAAAGAACACTTATGATTTGTACTTCAATTTTCTAATAGGTTGGTAAAAATTTCGAGAATGACTTTCTTCCTATCTAAATTTCCACCAATTCATTGAGTATTATGTCAAATAAATTCATCATCGATCAATTTTAACATGTATCAATGGTGAGTGACTCAAAAACCGAAACAACTTAAATAATAAGGACTAAAATTAAAAAATAACTCAATATTAGAGATTAAAACATATATTTAGTGTATTTTTTAATTCAAAGATGTAACAAATTTGAAAGTATAAAATAATGTAAAAAATTATACAACACAAGCTTTTTAATATTGAATCTCAAGAGGATGATACGCTTGTATAATATTTTACTGCATCAGTTGGTAAAAAAAAGTCCAATTTTAAGTCCAAGTTTTACACATACAGAAATTCATGAGAAATTCCTGTTGATTTGACAAATTAAAGGCCACTACTTTTCTAAAACTTATAAAAAATTTAATTTGGTTTTCTAATAATTTATCTCATATTTTAGAAAATTATGTATGTTAGCAATTTTTTTATATGGCTAATTCCTTATAAAAATGTCTTAAATTTGTTTTAAAGATTTGTCACATTACCAAGTTTGAGTGGTTTGGCATCCATTCAATTACTAGTAATTATAAATACACATTTTTTTGATAGCGATTTGCCTATTTCAAAGATTAAGTAAAATATATCTAACCATTTATAAATTTTATAACTTTTTTCAATTTACTTCTTAAATCTTTTAAAACTATCGATTTAATTAGTACTGTATTAAAAATTATCAATTAAATTTGAAATCAGTTATCATTAAATAATTAAATTCAATCCTCCCATCATCGAGATGACCCACTCACCAACAAAATTAATTTCTTCCGAGTACCATGCCGACAAATTCAAATAGCACAAAATAATAATGGAATGACATGTAAACTTTCACCTTTTTTTTTTGAACATATATAAACTTTCAGTTTTTTCTAATTGACAACTTTTAATAAAGATGAGGGACCATCATATACGTTGTAACATCTATAGATAGAACATTGGTGTTGACAATATGATCTAACAGTTGATCGAACCAATCTATAAGATTTGACAAAAAGGTATCAGACTAATAATTATTCTAGCTCTAACCTTAATCCATCTGACTTAATAGTCGACAAATTTATTTATTTATGTTTATATTATTATTATACTTTAATCCAACATGTGAGGATGAGGATCGTTACAATCTCTTGATTGAAGATATAGATCAATTACTGCTAACCCACACAACAAATTATTAATGAATACGATATACACATTGTTAATAATGTTCGAATGAAACGTAATGGAAAGGACGTTAGGGAAAGGAATTTTGTAATTTAAAACTTTTTAGAGAGAGAAAGGGAAGAGAGAGAGGGAGAGAGAGTTGCAACGTCGAAAGTGGAACAAACCCCAAAACCTCGACCTCATCTATCATGTTGGGAGAATGATGCGTGCTGAGAGTGGAGAAACGAGGCCGAGGCTCAGCTTCAGGCTCACAAAATGCGTGACGCCATTTCTCTTCTTCTTCTTCTTCTTCTTCTTCATCTTCTTTCCCCAAATATATATTGTTCACAATCTCAAACCCTTTCTTCATCTTCCCGCAATTTCGACTCCACTTTTCTGTTGATTCTTCCGCGATTCCTTTCAAATGGACCGCCACAACACCAAGCGAGCCAGAGAATCATTATCAGCATCAGCCGCATCATCCGATGATGCTGTGAGCTACGAGCGATCTTATTCTTCGCCGCCGGAGATCGGCAACGTGAAGAA